AATGATTTGGGTTCATGGGGGCCAGTTTACAATTGTGGCAGGATAGGTGTGAGTGGTTCGAATTTCGAGATAACTTGCCCAGGGTATTGTGGTCTTCCATTGCTTCCTTGATTAGGATCTGGGTGTCTGCACTATACTTTCCTCTTTGTAACTGTAAAAAGAAAGTGTATATTGTCTACCAAATATTATACTGACCTTTTCCATATATACTGATTACAATATACACGTTACATATTAACCTGATAGACAATATACATTTTCTTTTCACAAAATACATGGTCTAAATAATTTGTTACAATATGTTTTTTTTTTAGAGCTTGAAATCCTTCTTCATTTTTTTTTTTACAAGTATTAGAGTATATTTGACTGCACATAAATATTCAAATATATCAAAATTTTGGGTAATTAAAAAAAGTTACACTACTAAAACAAGAAAATCACGTTTGATAATGCAAACTTGTGTCCCACACTATCTTGAGGCCCAAAATTATGATCACGGAGAATCCAAGTGAGACTTGAATTTTTTGCCATCATGCAAATCATATCATGCTTCGTAAAATGAATTCTATGGGCCTTAGTTTCATGACCTCCGATTTTTCTGTCTCATTAGGACCCTCTCTCTCTCTCTGCTTATCCTTCTGTCCCTCTACCATCTTATTCTTCATCTTGTTAATGCACTATTTTTCAGAAGCGGTGATAAAGAAGTGCATACCAGTTCAGCCATGCTATGGTTCCATGTCTTCACTACCCTGGTAACCCTTGAAAACGTAACATTGGCTAGATACAGATTTCTCAAAATTTGAATGTTTAAATTTTGTTATGTAAAAAAACATATTTTTAATGTCTAAGCCGAGATGATTGATGTAAAGTTCTTCTAATACTTAAATTGTAATTTTCGATGAGTTATGAGGTGATGTTTACTTATTTTTTATAGGACTGTAGTCCTATTAAATCATTTTCCCTTAGAGAAAGAATTTGAAAGTAAGATGGTCAATATAAAAGAATATGGTAATGTTGGAAGTGTTTTCCTTCAGCAATTCCCTTCTCTATTAGGTATCATGAGAATGCCTATGTGATATATGCTCCATTAGAAAGTTCTGATGGGTTTGAATGGCTCATATTATATTTATTGAACCAAAGGATTGGGCGATGACACCTCATGTGAAGAAGGAGGTTCATCATCATTATTATAGTCAGAGCTTTTTTTTCAACTAAATGGGATTGGCTACATGTGATGAGGAAGATTGTTGAATGAAAATCTTTTACTGATAAAAGGAATTCATCTAAAAACATGGAAGAAATTGATAAAAATTATAGCTTTGAGGCAGCGCCTCTCTGTGTTGTGCCGAATGGGTTTGAGAGTGAAAATGATGATTCTAATGAAACAATAATTGGAATGTATGAGGGTTGGGAATAGGAAAAGAAAGAATGAGGTGCCCATGTTGGTCAAAAAATGAGTGCCAAGATGTGATGTTTTTGCAAGAAACAAAAATCCCTAACCCTTGATTTCCATATATTAGGTCAGAATGGGATAGAAGACTTGTACATTTTTTTTTGTGAGAAAATTATATAAATATCTGTTATACTTTGCATTATTACGGATGTACCAAATAGTTTACGTTGTTATATGTATGTCTGTTTTTTATCTTTTATAACATAATTTTTTTAAAAAGATGACTTTACCCTTTTTTGGATGTTGAACAATCGAATTGAAAGGTTTTTCGGATGTTCAACCTCCGAAAATAGGCCGAAAGTTTAACATTCACATTCCTATTTTCGGGTGTTGAACATCCGAATTGAAGGGTTATGTCGATACATTGTATTCCTTGTGAAAATGGTTTTGGATGTTGGACGTCCAAAAATATCACATTTTCGGATGTTGGACATCCAAAAATGTCATATTTTCGGATGTTCATCATTCGAAAATGACTGTGAAATCCAGAGACTTTCTGAAAATTCAAAGTCAGACATTTTCGGATATCCAACATCCGAAACCATTTTCAGATGTTCAACATCCGAAAAACCCTTTAATTCGGATGTTCAACACCCGAAAATGGGAATGTGAACGTTGAACTTTCGGCCTATTTTCGAACATCCGAAAAACCCTCCAATTCTGTTATTCAACATCCGAAAAAAGGTAAAGTCATCTTTTTAAAAAAATTACGTTATAAAAGATAAAAAACAGACATACATGTAATACCAGAAACTATTTGGTGCATCCATAATAACGCAAAGTATAACGGATATGTATGTTAAGAATGGTTTGTAAGTCGTTGTTATGCCATGTATATGGCTCTGATGCTGCATCACGCAGGAATGAATTATGGTTTGAATTAACAAATATTTGTAATAAATTACTAGATCGATTCTTAATTAATTCGGCTTGGAATGAATTATTTCCATTGGTTATTTTCTGGACAATGCCGAAGTTGTCTTCTGACCATATGCTTTTATTGTTGGAAAGTGGGGTTAATCAGTCGGGAAGATCATATTTCAAATTTGATGATAAGGTGGTGAATGAATTATTTAAAGAGAATTTGAATGCCTTTGTGATAAGTCATTGAAGGGGATATTAATTGGCAAAAAATGTGCAATTCATAAAACTAAAAGTTAATGGCTTGGAAGAAGGTAATACTAATTTCAAAAAATGAATTGAGGACATATTGAAAATTTTTGAGTTGGTAGATGCCTTTGAAAGGAGTAGAATGTTAAATTAAGGATTGAGCTCAATAAAGAACTCCGTGAAACATTGAGGGCCGATGAGGTTTATTAGAGACAAAGATCCAGGGTGAAGGGGTGAAGTGGTTGAAAGAATGAGATTTGAATACTAAATCTTTTCAAGCCACAGCTAACACTAGGAGGATATTCAATAGCATTCACTGAAGATTCAATGTATTTGCTAAAAAAGACACAGAGGGGCTGGAAATGGCGATTGTTAAGCCTTATGGAAATGCAGTTTCTTCAATTTAAATCCCTAATGTTCACTTCAGTGAGATTCCTTTTAAAAAGTTGCCTGCTGGATGGAATTTATGGTTGGAAAGATCATTCTCTGAGACTGAGACCAAAGAGTCTATGTTTAGTCTATCTGGGGATAGAGCTCCGAGACCAGATGGGCTCCCGTTAGGATTTTTCCATCATTTCTCGGATATAGTAAGACCTAACATTATTGATACAATGGAAGAGTTCTTTCAAAGGGGTGATAAAAAAAGCCATTAATGCTACATTTATAGCAATAAAATCCTAAAAATTGGTGATTAAGAGGCTGAATCATATTAGACCCATTAGTTTACTAACTAGCTTATACAAGATCATTGTTTAATGTTAGGGCTAGAAGGTGCTGCCAATGTAATTGCAAGCCCCCAATAAGCATTCAGTAAAAGGAGGCTCAATAGCGCATAAGTTCTAAGAAAGCTGAAAATATTTATGGGTTCATATATAAAGTGGATTTGGAAAAGGACACGGTTTCTGTACGGCCAGCCCGCATTTTGTAGAAATGCGGGCTTGGAAATAAATATATTTTTTAAATATAATTTGATCCTAATTTTTAGAAAATATATAATCTTTGACATGAAGATCATGAACATCAATTTTTTTTTTTTGAAAACTACAAATAATAATTATATTAGGAAAACATTGGAACCGTTGGTTGCACTTGTTTTTAGATGGCCCACCTATGTGCATCCATCTTTAAGACGGATGCTTTATACCTCTGGACCGCGTATTGTAGAAACACGATCCAGCCCGCATGAAACAATTTTCCTTTGGAAAAAAACATATAATAAAGTCATAGGATTTGTGTAAGATCATGGGGATAGTGGGCTTTGAAATTGAGTGGAGAAAATGGATTTATAGTTGCTTATTTAGAGCTATTTCTCTTTGATAAATGGTAAACCAAAAACTTTTTCTAAAGCCACAAGATGCACTAAACGAAGGGACCATGTTTGACCTTTTCTATTTGCTCTCATGACTGAAGAACTTCAGTGTGATGTTGAAAGCAGTTGAGGAGAAATGGTTATTGTGTGGGTCTAACCTGAAAAGAGGTGTGTCATGTAGACAATGGGCAAGTTTTCTATGCTTCTTTTACAACATAAAACTTCTATACTTCTTCTATCCTACTATCCATTCTAAATGGACGACTTAGCGCCAATCACAATTTCACCCTCTATACTATTTTATTTTTTATTTTTTTATACAAAACATTTTGAAACCAAAAATTGAACATCCAATCCTCTCTTGAACTCACATTTATAAAAACATATAAAAATTATTCTCAATGAAATAAAATGACTAAAATACCCTTAAAAATTTCAAAGATATTTTGATCATTTTATTTTATTAAAAATATTTTCTAAATATTTTATTTAAATACGCCCTATGGAGATGATAGCACGTACCAAATTTCATATTCATATAATTAGTAGAAAAAAATTAAAAATAAAATACTCTGAAACATCGGATCTAGATTAAATGGTTAATGGCTCACTTGATCTAAATTGGATCGTTGGATGAAAGGGGAAGTATACATCTTTTATATTGTAGGGGAAACATACGTATTAACATTACTTGTGAAAGTGAGGTGTTCATACTCAAATTTTTTTATCTTATTGTACACACATGTTCCTTAATTTTCGTTTTCTCAAATTTTACATGAATTCACGGCTACAAAACATACAAGGACTTCTTCTTACGATTAAGTTGAAGCAAAATAAACACTGATGTTTTGCAGTTCGACAGCAGAAGGCCCATTTTCTTATGATTAAGTAGAAGGAAAATAAACACTGATATTTTGCAGTTTGACAGCAGAAGGCCCACCACATATTTTGCAGCTTGATAGCAAAAGGCCCAACCCAACTGATATGCGGTCCTTCATTTAGAGAAATACCTTATCTCCAAGAATCAAATTTAATTGATACAGTTGAAGTTGATATTCTTTAGTTTAGTGAGAAAAACAACCTTATACTAATCTCCCATATTGAGTAGGCTGAGTATCAGAGACAATGGAATTAACCATACGCCATGCTATTTTATTTTATTTTTTTTAAGGTCGGCTATGTTGAAGAGGTTACAACACCAGAATTTGGGGTCTTAAAAAAACTCCTAGATTGAGTTTTATCGAAGGGGATGTGACGGTAAAAAGCTCGGGTAGCCAACACAAGAGCGCAGGTGTGCGCCTTGAGAGCGACCACTTTATGCATAAAAACCAAAGGTTAGGACCATTTCCATCTCACCCCCAGGACCCTGCATAAGCAGCACCAGCACCAAGTTACGGCCCTTTATTGAGTAGTACCCAAGGGAGTAAATGGGCAGCATATGCTCCTGCAGGAGCGTCGAATCTTTTGACATTGCTCATGGTCATTAATCTTTCGACATTGGCCCATTGTTCCTTGAAGAAAATGAGGAACATGCAGCATAGGCATGCTTCTCAGTATCCCACCATCATCATCTAAGAATATGTGACCACGACCATTATCAAGAGCAATACAACAATCAGTCACCATCCACCATACCACCATGATTCACCATCATCAACATGATCATCTATACCACCATGATTCACCATCATCAACATGATCACCTATTTTCAAGGTATAGCAACCACCGCCATTAGTCTCCAAAGAAAACAGAGCATCATTTGACGAGCATTATGCCATTATATATAAATCACCATTGCCACCATGAGCACCATCGTCATCATCGTCATCACCATCACCATCATAAGCATCATATATAATGTACCATATTAGCCATCAGCATCACCATGTATCATTCAGCATATAGCCAGACTTGGCAGCACTATTGCGCTATTCTTCATCCATAAAACCATTGAAGCCAAGAAAAACATGAAAATACTGTGACAGAACCCTAAACCACCTCAAGCTCTTGCGACCACAAATCTCATCTGTGATCCACAAATAACAATCAGCCTGCAAAATTTTTAGACCCAACCTTCAGATTCTTCAGAAACGAGATCCCTTCATCCTTCATAGAATGCAAAATAATTGTAGCCTCACTCTCCTTTCCAACAGACTGGTATAAGTGAACAGCAGCACTGAGAATGAATTCATCAGGTCTAATACACTCACTGATCTCCTCAAAGAAAGATATTCCTCTCTCTACATGTCCGTGCTCCAAATAGACCCTAAGCATAGTCCTCTGGCATATAATATCAGGCCATACACCACGTCTCTTTATTTCCCCATAGATTCTTTCAGCCTCACTAACAAGCCCAGCTTTTCCGAGACCAAAAACCAATTGATTGAAGTGAGAACAAGTAGGGTTCACTTGATCATTTTGCATTGTATGAAGAATCTCCTCAGCTTCTGAGTATTTACCAGAAGATGTATAAGCTTGAATTAGTCCAAGGTAAGTGAAGGAATCTGGAGAATACCCATCTCCCCTCATTGCTTGGACAAGCTCCTCGGCTTCAAAATGAAGTCCTGCTGCACCATACACACTGATCATAGTGTTGTAGCTTATCTGCATAAGAAGGAAAAATAGAATAGATGAGGTGGTTTGACGAAAACTTAAGTGGTTTAACTAACGGGTGCGGTTTGCATAGAGCCGAGGCTCTAAACAATCAAAGTAAAACCCACCTTCAAATAATGTCGAGAAATGCGGTTTCAATATGGAAATCTTTGTGATAGCCTTGAAATATATTTTCATCTTGAATTATAAAATTTAAAGCTTCAAACATAGTGTAGATCAAACAGATCTATGAAAACTTGAAAACTTTGAAAATTGATGGTCTAAAAATACATTACAAAATGCACTATTTCCAAACCTTGAAATCTATTTTTTTCTCATATCCATGCATCTTGATGTTGAGATGATCAATTTAAAGGTATTTGGGCATCAAAACAACCTCTTCTAGTGAAATTTTTGAGGTGGGCTCTAATTTGATTGTTTAGAGCCTCAGCTCTGTATAAACTTAAAATAGAAAAAGGAGAAGAGGAACACGTCTCTCTCTCTCTCTCTCTCTCTCTCTCTCCACACACACACACACACACACACACACACACACACACACACACACACACACACAAAAACATAGACACACACAAAAACACAGACACACACACACACAAACACAGACACACACACTTTTGTAACATGAAAAATACCTTTCCCGGTTGTATCCCTGCTTTTTTCAACTTAGCAAATAACAAGGATGCCGCTTCTGTATCACCTGAGAAAAACAGTGTACTTAGTGTAAGCTTAAATAATGATGACGAGATTTAAAATTTATGCACCTTACCCACTATAGAAGTCATGTTAGTAGTTGGAGAGCAAAACTGCATATGCAATGCAAAAGTTGCAGCTACTGTTCGCAGAAAAATATATGCCAAGCCCTTGATCATGTTAAAGGACAAACCCCTAAGCTACTATGCATATGCATGTGCACCTTTGATTAAATAAAATAAAAGCAGACAAATGCAAAAATGAGATATTTCATGAGCAAATCGCATATTTACCGGCTTTCCCATGGTAGCTTATCATATTAGTGTAAACTTTCTCATCTAAAGTTAACCCCGATGTCTGGGCCATGTCAAACATCTTAATAGCTTTCTCCAACATTCCAGCCTTGCCATAGACACTACACAAAAAGTACAAATTGAAATGGTACCAATAAGTTCTCAAGGAGGGAAACTATGAAGATACTTGGCTGCCAAAGATTTCATTGCAATTCTTATCACTTTCACAAACTACTTTTCAAACGAATAAAAATAAGAAAAACGTGGGCCCCCCTTTCTTTCGGTGTCCGCATGCATGTGCATGCACAGTAAGGCCACAGGTGGTTTCTCCCACTACAGATGCAGAAGGGGGGCTGGCAACTTTCTCCATCTCACTTGGGATCATGCCAAAATTAAAAGAACCTCTGCGACTCTTCTGAGAGAGAGAGAGAGGGGGTTTAGTTTATGGGGTTCTTTTATTTTATGACTAAGTTATGGGAAGCAATTTCATGAACTGGTAACATTTGCATCTTTCTGCTGAGAAGACAAGCATTTGGATGGTCCACAATGAGAGAGAGCCCCAACAGATATCCATACCCTGTCCTTTTTGACATAAGGTACAGAAGTCGTAAATTTACATTTGACGAATCGAGTATAGGCTAGCTAGAACCCACATTTACCTGATCATAGTGCTATATGTCTGTATTGATGGAGCAATACCTTCAGACAACATGCGATCATATATATCAGCTGCAGACCGCAGCTTTCCTGTAGACATAACATAAATTTTCACTGAAAATATAAACCACTTATTTTTTATTGGAAATAACACCCATCTAATTTTTCCCATTATTTTATGTTTAAGTAAATAATTTTGTCGATTTTTTTTTTTTTTCTGTAGAAATAAACTCCCATGCCATGATCAAATTATATAAAAAACTTTCTTTAGCGACTCGGAGTAAACAGAGAAGGTAAGCTTGGTCATCTACCTGCTTCTAGCATGGACTTGATAAAAGTATTGTATGCTATAGTGTCAAGCTCCACACCTTCTCGGAAACTATTATAAATTATATCTTCAGCCTCTTGGTACTTGCCTACAACCAATCATGGCATCAAAAAGTCAATTGCAAAAAACCACTGAAAATAGTATATACTAAACAATTAAATGTGTGCTTATATGTGTATAGGTAGGTGAGCCATAGGCAGGAAGTTAGATATAACATCCAAACAAATGCATTTATGTGGGTAGATGTATGGAAATACATAGATATCGATATGCATATGCGCTTGTGGGTCTTCATGCATAGACGGTTAGAACTATAAAACATCACAATCCAATAATTTCCTCAAGGAGACGTACATACGATTACATTGATAGATCATCTGGATGGTATAAAGAGAGACTTGCCAGTGCTTCATTTGGTAGTAGATAAACAAGTATATGGGATAACTAAATGGTTATATCATAATGCTATCAAAGCTTCAGCTATCCTTGGGAAGATTCAAGGGATTCAACAAGATGCTAAAGGAGATGGATAGGTTAATGCAAAGGAAGTTGAGATCTGGAGCATCATGAGATGGAGGAACTTCAGTGATTCAAATTCACAGTATGATAGGGATTTGTCTCCTTTCCACAGGCGCTATGTTTTCTTGGATTCATTTGCCTCCACATATTACAACAAGATTATGAGAAAGCACACTATTTCTTGGATTCATATGCTTTCACATATTAAAATAAGATTATGAAAGAGCACGCTATCCAATGGACTATTTGGGACCATAGTCCATTGGACTTCTCACTCCAGGTGAAATGATGAATGATGATGAGAGAGTGAGACCACCAGAACAGCACAGTACCCCAACAGGAGATTTAAATCCCTCTCCATCTCCATTCATCATTTCACTGGATGGTAAGACCATTGTGGCCCATGAATTTCCATAATCTATTAGATAAATATACATTCTCATAGAATTACGAAGTATCCATTTCCAAATCAACTGCAAATTTGTTTTAGAATTTATGCCGATCTAGTAGACGACCCAAAAGCTTCCTTGGAGACTCATAGCACAGAATGAATGTATGATTATCAGTTGTCTTATGATTCTTCATACCTACCATGATTGGTAAAAGCATTGACCATTACACTAGAAGTGACTGCATCCTTAGCATATCCTTTCTCAGCCATTACTTCATAAAGACTGCATGCCTCCTCCAATTTACCGCACTTGGCATAGGCATCAATCATTGAGCTATAAACAGGTCTTGCTAGTGTAGGACATGAGTTTGACACTGCTTCATAAATATATTTAGCCTCTCTAAGCTGCCGTCTCCGACCATAGCAACTGATCAGAGAAGCAATTGCCACATCCTCGGGCATGCAACCAAGCTCAAGCATTTCATCAAAGAGAGATACAGCTTTGCTAATTGCACCTGCAACCAAATAAAGGTCTTTCTTAGTCCACCATAAGAAAAAATAGCAATGACAACTCTTCTCTATAGACGTTTCATGATTAAATCTAAATTTCCCTATAGTTCAAATGCAAGAAACTCAAAGCACAATTAGCTTGCCTTCTCTAATGAATTTGCTGATAAATCGGCTCGCCAGAGACAAGCCACCTGTAATCTCAAGTAGAAGCATCAGCATTCTTTTGGCTTCTTGCCCATGGCCATTTTCATCGTAGAGTGAAAACATCAGACTGAGAGCAACACTGTCGGGATTATCTAAGGACTTAAAGAGTCTCTCCGCTTCCTGGAGTCTTCCACATTCACCATACATAGCCATCAAAGATGTCTTAATGAACTGATCCATGACAAGCCCAATATTTTCCATTGCATTTACTAATTCTTCAGCTTCATTTATCATTCCTTCCTTGCAATAGACCTTAATAACAGCCCTATAAAGGTCGATATCAAACTCTATTTTATCATTTCTTAGTTGAATAGTAAGTACTTTGGCCTTTTCTAGAAGACCCACTTTTACATATAAATTTAACATACAAGTATAAACAGCTGCATCAAGCAAACCAGATTCAGTTAGAGAGAGAAATGTAGCTTCAGCGGACCCCACATCTTCCTTACCAGCATGACATTGAAGCAATGCACTATATGCATAACTGGAAAACTCAATTTTTGTAAAGCGCATATGCTCTAAGAGGCTCAAAGCCTTGCCATAATTTCGGTTCCTAATATGAACTTGGGCCATTGCCACATAAGTTTTCTCATCATTAAGGAGGCCCAACTTCCCAATCTCACTAAAAGTCTTCTGAGCATCCTCATAAAGGCCAAGCTTACCATAGATTTTAACAAGTATGCCATAAATAACTTCATCGGCAGCTATCCTTTTCCTACCCATATCTAGAAAGAGAGAAAGGGCTTTTGAGTAATCACCATTTTTATAGTGAAGGTTCAATATTGAAGCACAAGTGTAATTACTAGGAACAATCCCTCGACACTGCATGTCTTTGTAAAGTTCCATCACATCGTTTACCCGACCATTTTTTGCAGACAAGTTGATAAGAAGGCTGTATGTTAGTTCCTCTGGTACAAATCCAGACTTTTTCATTTTATTAAATAAGTCCAGTGATTCATCCATTAGGCCTTCTCTTATATATGAGCTAATAGCTACTGTGTAAGTGAAGTGATTAGGCTTCACATCAATATCCAACATTTGCTCCCATAATTGGATCACTGTGTCATGCATGCTTTGCTTCTGCAAAGATGAAATCATGAAGTTGAACACTGCAACAGAAGGTATGATGCCTCTCTCCCTTACAGCTGTATAAAATGAAAGCATGTCTTTGCAGTGGCCCCATCTAGCATATACACAGAGCATGGTACCACAAGCAACTTGATCAGGCTCACACCCTGCATCAAGCATCTCTACAAAGGTCTTCTCGGCAAGACTGATCTTCCCCACTTGGCCATAGATGCGCACAAGAATTGTGTAGACAATTACACTTGGCCTATAAGATAGCTGCACAAAATGTATCAGGCTTTTCCTGATGAGCAACGTATTTTCTTTTTTTAAAGGAAACACAGGAAGATTTATGGCATAATAAGAAAGGAAGAACTGTAGTGAAGTTTAGAAAGAAAGGGGGGTTTTAAGGAAACTGGCCGTTGGAGTTTACCGAACTTTCCAGGAACGCTATGAGAATCATTCAACCATATTCGGGATTGTAGACTCCACAAGGACAAAGGTTTAGGCTCTTGTTGGTGCCCTCAAAAGTCTACATCTTTTACTTCTCTCATTGTGGCATTTGTGATCGTCAAGGGGGGCCCGAGACACAAAAGGATAGCTTCGTGGAGTGACCCATGCTGGTTGGACCGGCAGTTGTGTTTCTTTTGTACAGTGAATATCAAAGCTATGGGTATGGGTAAAGTTTCTCTGTGCATAGATATCAAACTTTTGGCATGTCATGCAAATTATGAGGGGATCCAATGAGCTACTGCCACAGTCCTTATTCATGGTTGGGTCGACAGAGGAAAGTCACTAAACATGCATAGAAAATTATATGGGAATAGCAATTACGTATTTGTGCAAGCATTCAAACATAAATTGCACATAGACATGCATACATATGCGTATTTCTCTTATTTGCACTCATCACTCTAGCCAAACCTCAAAAGATTTTCTATTTGTTATGCCGTTTGTTAGGTAAAAATATGTGGATTTTCAGATTTTAACAAAGATTTAGAAAAGCCACACAAAACAGAGATTATCAAGGAATACAAATACATGTGATGAAGCCCAGAATCCATCTTATTAGCCAAAATTGTATATCGCACTAAAGATTATTTGTCCTATGCAGTTCTCAAATATAAATTGGGAAATTTGGAATTATATTGTCCTCTTACCAATTTAAGTTTTACCAACAAAACGGCACCACAATGAAGCATCTCTAACTAACAGAATTCATCCAACTATAAACCAGGAATTAATAAGAAAAAGGAAAAAGTTTATATAAGGTTGCAACCTTAAAATGTAGAACTAAAGTTGCACTTCAAAAATCCATCGGAAAATGTTGTTTAATGTTGAAAACCCTCGAATTCATTATCGCGACATCGAGATGTATGAATATGAAAAAGAAAAATATTTCGAGTCCCAAAAATAGTGGACTTGCAACACATTATCTAAGCCGTTCATTTTCAAGATTTTCATATGTTTATAGATCTACTTGTTTTGAACTATTTTTGGAGTTCAAAATTTTATAATTAGAGTAGAAATAGATTTTCAAAGAATTCTTAGAATTTTTTACACCAAAATTACATCTTATGATAAAATTTGGAGGTGCGCTTAATTGGATTGTTTAATAATGCAACCTTATGCAAACCATACTCTAAGAAAAAATGTATATTCTGAACTTATAAGGGAAGCACATGAAATAAGTTCCAGGAAAAAATTGTTAAATGTGGTTTCTTAAAATACCTGTAAAATGTATTTAAATCCCATAAAAACACCAACCCCAAAAAAATAAAATAAATGAAAACCCACAAACTAGTGAATGCGTTTCTGCGGCTTCAACCTTGAAACCCAAGAAACAAATTGTGAAGCACCCACAAATAAATATGAGTTTTGAAGTTATCAATATAACATGTTTAAACATTCAAAGAAACGCCAACCCAACAAACAAAATTCCACAAAAAACATCTAAAAATAATAAAAACCGATGAGCAAGCAAACAAATACCTGCAACTTCATCCATGAAAAGAAGTCCCTAGCTTGCCTCCACCCCTTCTGCTCCTTCAAAACAATGCACATCTCCCTAAAATTCAATCTCATAACAAACCCCCTCATCACCTCCCTCATATCATAAGACCCCTCTGCTCTCTCCGAAAGCTTTCTCACAGTTTTAATGGCGGCCACCACATGCTTCCCATACAAATGTCCATCTCTATCATCCTTCAGAAACTGTTCCATTTGTTCTGGTGTTCTCTTAATCCATTTGGGTGTTTGAGCTTGAGGACCCTGGTTTCTTCTCAAAAGGCTCAGATACTTTGCTTTCTCTTTGATTATTCTCCTTGCGTTGTTATCTGATAGTGGTTTCTTTTTCTGGGAATTGTAGTGTCTCTGATTTCCATCACTTAGAGTGAAGCAACAGGTTATTGTGATCTTGGGGAATTTGGGAGAGGGTTTTTGCAGGGGCTTATGTGTGGGGAGAGGAGAGAAGAAGGGGTTTTTGAGTGTGTCCATCACCACCCATTACCACTTGCAGAGGGAGTGAGTGGTCTGGGACCAGTTGTTCGTGTAGTCATATAAAATCACCAAAACTAGTGTTCAAGGTAAGTCAGTAGTAGCCCCGAGAGCGTTGGGACCTTCCACCAGCTAGTTTGTTTTTTTTTCCTTTTTTTTTTTTTTAACTATTTTGAATTATTTGAGGTCGATTATATAAATCTTAGTTACACAGAGTCATCCATCTATCAGTGAAGCTATAAGCCTCTCTATTTTTTCTAGCTGCTTTCGATTATATCATTTCATTTTAAACTTATTTTTTAACTTTTTAAAGTTTTTTGTTTGGACCACCTTGCACCTTCTAACAAATATCCTATAAACATGAACACTCCAAATCTTACAAAACAAATTCAAGCATGACCAAGGTCTTGATTATTAACAATATATGAAAAATGTATGATTGTCTGTCTTTGAGAATTACAAGTGTAGTCTTGTTATCAACAATGAAGTGCTGTAGTAAATTGAAGTTGTTAGGACTTCTAGCCATGAAACATACCTATGGTTGGAAAGGAGTTATGTAACTTTAATGGGTAGTTTGGGTCCTTGGATACAAAAGTTCTGGATATACCTCCTGGTCATGTGAATTCTAGTATATGTAAAATTATGGTTAGCTTATGAGAAAGCCTAAAACTAGCTTTCTAAAAAGAGTTAATAAGGCCTCCTAAAAATTAAAGAGCACACGAGCAATTCATTCAGTCAAATAAGGAGAGAAATGGTGAGGCTGACGTTCTGCCTATGGATGAGGTTTTTGAACTTTTCACTCGTCATCATTACAATCAAAGCTTTTTCTAATTAATTGGAGTCGGTTAGATTTTTTAAATTTTTTAATTATTTAACAAAATAATTACTTTAAATTTTTTTTGAATCTTTTGTATTTAAGCTCAACTTTTTAATCAAATTGGTCTTGTGGAATTATAGTTATTGATCAATTATGCCGGCATGTGTCCATCATTGTTGGCTTTTCATCTCAATTGATTTGATCATTATCAAATTGAAATTTCAAACAGCGCTTTTTTTTAAAATTTTTATTTATAAATACATTTGACATGAAAATTTTGGGGTTTCATTAATATATTTTTATATTTTTTATAATATTATAAATATCTATTACATAAATAAAAATGTTATATATCATATAATAAAAGGTGCGGTTTGTATAGAACCGAGGTTCTAAACAATCAAAGTAAAGCTCACCTCCAAATAGTGTCGAGAAATGCAATTTCAATACTAAAAATCTTTGTGATAGCTTTAAAATATATTTTCATTTCTAATTATAAAATTTAAAGCTTCAAAAATAGTGTAGATCGAGCAAATCTATGAAAACTTGAAAATCATAAAAAATTAATAGTAAAAAAATGTATTACAAGATGCACTATTTCCAAAACTTGAAGTCCATTTTTTTTTTCTCATTTCCATGCATCTTGTTGTCGAGATGATCGATTTGATGATATTTGGGCATCAAAACAATTTCTTATAATAAATTTTTTGAGGTGGGCTCTAATTTGACTGTTTAGAGCCTCGACTTTATATAAACTTCTTCTTATAATAAAATATATGTTATATAAATATATTATATTAAAAAAATATATTATATAATACAAATATATATTAAATGTATTATAAATAAAGGAAAGCATATAATGAGACAATTTATCTTTGATACAAGGTGGTCACAATTGATCTTGATCATTGGATGTGAAATTGGGTGTCTACATTTATTTCATTGATCTGACTTATAGTTCAAAAGTAATTTTTTCGAATTTTGTGACGCATCCATATTATCAGATTTAACATCAGATGGTTGTAAGTAATTGTGACGTCCATGTACCAAAGGTAAATGGTCTCATTATATATAATGAGACCATTTATCTTTTATAAAAGGTGGTCACAATTATGTACAACCACCTGATGTAAGATCTGATAGCTTAGGTGTATCACAAAGTTCGAAAAAAATTTTGAAGTTTGATATTGATCAATAGAATAAATGCAACCATCTAATTTCACAAAATTAATTGTGACCACTTTGTACGATAAATGGTCTCGTAATTCGAAACAATTTTCATGATCCTTACGAACAAAACAAAGTTCACTTCTCTCTGCGGTTTTTTCTCTTCTCTTAGGGGTATTAAAATAGTTTATGTAAGTGTGGAAAACCTTCTCTCTTTCGCTTCCTCGCTTATCTTCACCTGGAACACACACGGATGACGGCAGAAGGAAGCCATTAGAGAGACCATCAAAAGGAAAAAAAAAACCTAAACCCTAAAGAACCACGAATTTTTTGAAACCCCAACTCCAAACTCCCCGTATGCCATTATACTTCGATTTCTATCTCAATTTATCCTTTTTTATCTGCATTTGCTCTATTTTTTATTGAGTTCTGCGTATTTTATCTCAATAAGATTTTTCTGTCTTTTCTCTGGTGCGTTCCCTTTTATTCTACTGATTTTGTGTTTACATTAGTTTTTTTTTTCAGAAATCTCTCATCAATGAGTGTTCAATCTCTTCATAGTGTGTCTTTACCATTGAAGCCGCAAGGGAGGACCCATAAAAGTCCCTTTTTGGGGCAAAAACTGCGGTTTTTTCGGTTTAGTTCAAGTTCTCACAGTTTACGATCAGGTTCGAAATGGCTGTCTCGTGGTGTCTTGGCAAATTACAGTGGCAGTCCAAGTCGTAGAACCAGAGAGAGCAAGGTCTACCGGTCATCTCAGGGTGTTAGTCGTAATTCGCAACCATCTTCTAATATTGATCAGTATGTCTCTCTCTTTGGGGGAGCAGGGCTAATTCTGGCTGTTACTTTCGGTATGTTATTTAACAATTTTTCTATTCTTATACATTTCTTTGTTCAATTGTATATAAAAACACCATGGAATTTATTTCTATTACAGTGGTTGTTACTTTTTGGTATGTTATTTCTATTTTTATATATTTGCTTTCGATATTCTGGATTGAATTTGGGTGCTTTCATTTTTAAATTTAGTTATTTATTATTGTATATTTCTGAAGGTAAAGGTTTCTGCAATTACGGTTGGACATAAGTAAACAAATTTCCAATTGCTTGGTAGTGGTGATCTTGGAATTAGCTAATAACACGGAAAAAATATATTATCTAATTTTGTTTATCAAACTGTTATTCAGAGGTTGGGGACCGTAGAATAGTGCAGTTTAAGGTCATGTCATTGCGGTTTTTCGTCATGCTACAGGGACATGTGCTATAGTTTAGGGTCATATAACTTGAACCAATGTCATGCATTTTTAGGGTCTTGCGGCTTGGACTGATGCTATGCAGTTTGAGGTCTTGCGGCTTGGACCAACGCTAAACAGTGTATGGTCAGACAACATATAAGGCTTTTAACGGGATGCGGATTAGGGATTAAACCATCTCCGAATATTGTGAAACTTCAGAATGAGGGATATAATGCCTCAAATATAAATCTTGAATGCCTCGGCTCAATTCCTAAACATCAAGTTTGGGGTGTCGATTAAGGCGTACCATGACTGCCAATAGATACGGATGCTGGGGTTAAGCCAACTCCGAATGATGCCCAATTCATATATAATTCTTGGACTTAGAGGGATATGAGGCCTCATGAAATATATTTGTAAGGATATACCTCATCGTGATATCATATGGTGAGGTTTTCTTTGTGCTTCATCTGTCAAGCACTTTTATCCTTGGCTGCCGACGGATTCAAAGAGACATATTGCATCTCATCAAAACTCCTCCAGTATCGTGTGAAGAGGCATATATGGGCCATGGGAGTATACGTATCATAGAGTTTTGTCACAAATCAAAACGACTTCATGGTCTCTTGTCATCGGTCGTAAGTCACGATGTGCAAATCGTATGGTACATAAGTGTGCAACGCTTGTCATAAGTGCGCGCAACATCACTATACTTTGCGCATGAATAGTGTGCATTGAGTGGCTTGTGTTGTGCACGGTGCGCAAGTACATAAGACTAAGACTGAGTAACAGGTGCACTTATGTAGTACTTCGTCTGCGTGTGTTTTGGGGAATGTAGTGCAATCGTAAGGTACATAAGTGTACAACGCTCATCATAAGTGCGGGCAACATCGCTACACTTTACGCATGAATAGTGCGCATTTAGTGGCTGCTTGTGTTATGCACGGTGTGCAAGTATACAAGCCTGGATACTAGGTGCACTTATGTAGGACTTTGTGCGCATGTGTTTTGAAGAATGTAGTGCAAATCGTATGGTTCAGAGTGTGCAACGCTTGTCATAAGTGCGGGGAACATTGCTATACTTTGCACAAGGATAGTGCACATTGAATGGTATCCGCAAATATAGAAGATGGGGATGGACCAAGTGACCACTTAGATTGAATTCCTTGTCACATACAAAAGTTTGGAGGAGAATATTATGTACCAATATTCTAACCATTTCCACATTTTAAGTTAATTTGTATGTCTGATCTCCATATCTCTTGCTTATTTTTTTGGGTTAGATAAATATGCTAGCCATTCGTTTCTTTTATATAATGGACCATATCAATCGATGCTGCCAATAACTTGGATTTCTTTCATTTTTAATGATTTTTAATCAAGGGTTTACGTTCAATTTATTTTGTATCTTCCTTCTAATTTCTATTTAATGCATCTCCCTTTTGACAATTACTGATTATAAGAGGGGTTTAGTATTCTAATTTGCTTTTTTCAGCTGACAGTTGTTTGGAAGGTGGCTGAAAAACTACTTGTGTCTTCCAAATCTGGAAAGCCTTCAAATATTGAAAATAAAGCATCTTCATCAGGATTGAGATGGTCTTTTGGCCCTGGTTCAAATTTGTCACCCGGTGTTAGCTCCAGGGTTGAAAGGCAATCAAGAGCAAAGCTCAATGAATTTGCCAAAGAGCTGAGGATGTTTAGTAGTGTTGACATGTCAGGTATCATGTTATCTCCATGTTCATGCAATTTAAGAAATGAATGATTATGTTGGTCCTTTTCTACTTATTCTCGTGTGCTTCATACAGAACTGGTTGGCTGGATTTTGGCTTGATATAAGTGATTCTCCAATATCTTTCATAAACAAAACTGGCTGGCTGATAAATTACTTTTTATAAGGTTTAGACCTAGAAAATCTGGTAATCAAGGTCACACTTGTATGTATTAGGCATCACAGGCTTAAGAGCATTTTGTAGACATGCCTGACTCCATGTCTTTGCTTGAGAGATCAAACCTATCAGCCTTTTGATTCCTGATTCTGGAAGAAATGTGCTAATTGATTTCAGTTTTTCATAGGTCGCAACTTTGGGGATGAGGGACTCTTCTTTCTTGCTGAAAGCTTAGGCTTTAATCAGGCCAGTGGAGCTTACTTTACTAATTCATCTGCAATACAGTATGAGTTCCAAGTTTTAATATTCCCTTTCTTTGAAAAATAAGGATCATAACCTCTATATGGAAATAAGAATCCCATTGTATCAACGTACTTTGGAAATTGTGGATGGTATATGAATATATGTTATTTATAATTTCCAGAATGCTGAAGAGGTGGACTTTTCTGCAAATGGAATAACTGCAGATGGATTAAAAGCCTTTGATGGCGTTCTTCAAAACAATGTTGTACTGAAGACACTCAATCTTTCAGGAAATGATATTGGTGACGAAGGAGCTAAGGTTTTTAATTAATTTCTTAATATTCTCTGTGGATTTAATAGGATTTGATATCTTACTATGGAATTTCTTGAACAATGGATTTTGCAAACTTGCTGTTCATGTGTGCAGTTTGCAGTTTTAAACGAATTTTTACTGCTGGGAAGATGCATGTTCTGGTATCTTTCAGATATTTCAGACCATGCTTGACTTAAAACCACTTGCACGCTCTAACTTACAAAAATAGACACGGAAAAAAAGGTCAATAATAAGGATTCGAACTCTGGATTTAGGTAGTTGGGAAACATCCAGAATAACCTTGTAGCTAACTGTTTTTACTTCTTGATGATCAAAAATTGAAGAAACAAACTGTGATTACTGTGAAGCTTCAGGAATCTGCTCCTCCTCTACATACTTGTAGTCACAACTCATAACCATTAAATGTATTATGTGGCCCCAAGTGGTTTGATGCGCCACTGCCAAGGAAGTTCCCCGCCGGACAATAGGCGTTATACACTTTGTGACATATGTGCATATGTATTTGCACTAAAACCATTGCACCTATCGTACATCTGGGTAATAACTTCTTTTTTTTTAAACAACGAAAATTGCAAGATATCTATTTATGCTTTAGAACTATAGCTGATAAGCAGGTATCTAGAACTATACCTGATAAATATGTGCCTAGGTCTAGAAGCAAGGCTTTGGGCTTATATAGATTACATATGATTTCTTAGATGGAAAGGAACTTTCCAGACTTAGGCATTCCAGCTATACTCTGATATTTCAATTCTTAGGACACACATCCATGAAAAAAAGACCTCGTGCTTGTGCTAAGATTTGTAGCAGGGAAGTTAATTACCTTTGAGGAATGGAAATGTATTAATTCTCAAAGCTCATGAGCTATACAATATGCTTCGGGTATTACCATTATGGCTTCTTTTATTCCTAGGTCTTTTTTTATTTCCCTAATTCTGCTGGAGACCTCTTTCCATATGTTTCTCTGATATCTTTATACAAAACTGAAGGACAATGTACCTGTTGGCAGAATGGCAACCAAATAATATACATATTTACGTTTTTTATTTAGTAATATTTCTCTTTATGATCAAATGGTGAGCCTTATATCTTCAAGGATTTCGTGTACAGTTTTACTCACTCGTAACTCATGCCATTTGGTGATCTTACCATGATTTACATGCTACTTTCTAATAAGCATATATATGCTTCTCTTGAATCAATATATGGAGGTGATATTTCTGGTGAGTGATATTTAATTTGTACATCTCTGCGGTGCTGTATAAAGGAACTTTAATGCTTTAAAATGTTGACAGTGTCTCTCTGGGATTATGATGGAAAACAGCGGTATTCAGAAGCTGCAGCTGAATAGTGCTGATCTGGGAGATGAGGTACTCTGTTTATGTTTTGAAAGCAACCACTTCACTGAATTATATATGAATGTAGAAATGGTCTCACCGAAGGTTATCAGGGACAATAATGAGTCCTGCCTGATAGGTTAAAAGGAAGTAAAACATTCAATTTATCCATCAGGTCTGCTGCCATGTCTGCCTCCATGTGCATGTTTTTTGTTTTTTTTCTAGAAGCAGAACTTTGTAACTACATATTCAAGTCTTCAACAAGTCGCCTTTGTTTGGAATTTTTGATGTTTCCTTCTGCTAACTGGAAGTTTCTCTGCGCAGGGAGCAAAGGCCATCGCAGAGATGCTTAAGAAAAATTCAAGCTTACGTGTGTTAGAGCTCAACAACAACAAGATTGACTATTCTGTATGTTGTTCTTTGTTAAGCCAAGCTAGAGTTAGAAGGAGAATCTCTTGATGAGAAATTATAAAAGAAAATAGTTAGGATGAAATATGGCTTACTGAGATTTGTGGGGGTGGAGCAGGGATTTTCGAGTCTGGCGGGAGCTCTGCTTGAGAATAAAGCCATTCGTTCAATACATCTAAAGTGAGCTATATATATGCTTCTCTCTTCTATTTATTCAATTCCTGGTTTTCTTGATGTACTTTCACATTGATGTTAGAGATATTCTTCTTTCTTTGGGGAGCTATATATGATTTCTTTGGAGACATTTCTGATGATTTCTGCGTTTCTATTATAGTGGCAATTATGGCGGTGCTCTTGGAGCTGCTGCTCTAGCAAAGGGGATTGAAGGCAACAAGTCTTTGAGGGTATACATTCTTTTACTATTTATTTTATCATTCTTGTTATTGCTGTTAGGATATGGTTTTGTGCACCGTATGAGACTCGGCAATAGAGAAACTATAGAATTTGATGTCTCCTTGAATCTCTCATATGTTTCCTAAAACAGAACTAATTGTCCTTATCTTTTAAGCACTAGGGCATCGGGACTGAGTTGGGTCCACTTGTGAGCTTTGACCTGTTTGGAGCCCACGTTGGTGGATGGATTTACTTGTTCAATTTTAACAATACATGTGTGTCTGTCGTGCTTGTTTTACATTCTATCATCCTATGTTATGTGGAAGTAATCCTGTATTTTCTCTAGGAGCTCCATTTACATGGGAATACTATTGGTGACGAGGGTGCCCGGGCTTTGATGTCAGGCCTATTGCTTCATAAAGGTTAGCTTTTTCTTACTGCAGTTCATCCAGGTAGTGAAAAGTTTTTCCATTCTCATGTTCAAAGTTGCATGGTCCTTAGATGGTTAAGGGGTTTATGATACTTGGTTATTGCTTTGTAGGGAAAGTAACAACTGTGGATATTGGCAACAATTCCATTGGTGCAAAAGGTGCCTTCCATGTGGCTGAGTTTATTAAGAAAACCAGAAGCCTAATCTGGTTGAATCTTTACATGAATGATATTGGTGATGAGGTAATTTTCTGTGGCCTATCTAACTTCAATTGATTTTTTAAGTTGAAGAAAAACCTAGATCCAAATCAAGATTCTGACATTTACAAACTAACATTGGAATTACCTACAAGGAACAGGCATCAAAGGATAAGGATACAGAAATAATGTCAGGACACTACAAAGGGAATATAGGAGTTCTTGGGACTCTTGGATGTAAATTTGGTCGCCATGCTTATGCTGGGCATGTGCTTCTATATTAAGAGTGGCTTAAAGTCTATAGAATTGTGTGTGTGCGCTCGCGCATGCATATGTGGTCTGCTCATTTGGTTTTATATTTCACAGCTTATCCCAACCCCAGTTTCCACTTGTACAGAAGTCTGAAAACTCCTCTTGCACCGTAATTTCCTTTCCAAGATATGGTTGATTGGCAGCGGATTTGGTTTTATATGTAGCTTCCTAAATGTGAATAACTCCCAATAACAGCATTTTAACGGTAGTGAGATTTTCATGCCTACATTCTCTACTGACTGTACATCTCTCGCAAGCCCTTTTTGTGTTGAAATGTCTCACTTACGCACGTGGAATTTTCCATGATTCCCAAGGTAAACCTAGGTACACTACTGGCTTCGACCATTTCCTCTTTGTTGTACTTCCTGAATGTAACTAAGTAGGGAAGTCTATAATGTCCCTGTTTTGCTATATGTGAAGATTTCAGTATTGAAGAGAACTGGAATAAAGTACATTTGAGCCCATAAGTCATTTTGAAGATGCCTCTTGTTACTATCTTTGACGTTCTCTATGTTTCTCAACCCTGCTTACATTCTAGAAATTTAACCTGAGCTGCTCGAAGGTCAAGGATCCCAAATCCAAGGGCATTCATAATCTAATTAGCTTACTGGGGAATTTGTCTGAAAGAATCTGCTAACACTATTTTGGTTTTAATTTGTTGTTTACTGCTTATGTTATGCATGAATCCAAAAGTACTCTAGATTTTGCTTTAATTTTTGTTTTATTGTGTTTGATTTAATATCTTTTCCCTTTCTTTCTATAGTTTTCTTTTATGTTTATTTTTCCCTTTCCATTTCTCATGCAACAAGCATTTTGGCAACTAGTTCTTGTGTATACCTGGTTTTTTGCTTCATTTCGTTCTCACCTGGCTTGGGTGCCTGATTTATACTGAAAAAGTCTTGACATGCATAATAATTATCAGTTGCATGCAAAAGCGATGGTGGAATTGGGTTATGGGACTGGGCGCCACAAATGAATACTGGAACATAGCCACTTTCTTCAGAAGCTTGTTATTAGTTATCTTTGATGAATTGTTTCCCTCTCCATTTGCCATGCTGCCTACTTCTGATATATCACTGAGATGGTGACTTTTATGTGATGACAAACGGCCACATGTATAAGCTATAATCCTGTTGTTCCTCAAATATGAAGAAGATTTTTTTCTAACTTATAGCTAGTTAGATAAGGTCGATCTTTGCTGCCTAACTTCTTACACATGGAAGGTAACAGGGAGCTGAAAGAATTGCAGATGCTCTGAAGCAAAACCGCACGATCACAACTATAGACTTGGTGAGAAATTGTTCACTGTAATTATCTCTTTGTGCATGCTTGAGGATTATTGAAACGTTTGTCAAAGTCTAACTTTTCTTTTTGTAGGGTGGAAACAACATTCATGAAAAAGGACTTAGTGGTATATCACAAGTTCTAAAAGATAATTCGGTTATTACAACAGTGAGTCTCTATAAACTCCTAATTTTGTTTTGCTCACTGTCATACTGAGCTAGTTTTAGAATGACCTTCACCCATGACAGTTGGAACTGAGCTACAATCCCATCGGACCAGATGGAGCAAAGGAACTATCTGAAGTTCTCAAATTTCATGGAAAAGTTGAAGCCCTCAGGCTTGGGTGGTGTAAGGTATTACTTTCCTTTATCTTTTTGTTCTGGATAATCTGGTATAGTGTATTCCTGTGTTCTTGCTCCCTTGTATCCTTCCCAGTAGGTATTTTTTGTCTTTTGAGTGTCCCTTTTGCAGATAGGGGTAAAAGGGGCCGAGTATATTGCAGAAGCATTGAAATACAATACAACAATATCAACCCTGGATCTGCGAGCAAATGGATTAGGAGATGACGTATGCATCTTTATTTATGGTTATTGTTTGTGTCGACTTTGTGCTTCTGTGCTTCTTAAAATTGGTTCTCCAGAGTAAGGTGCCATTGGTTGGTTTGATTTACAGGGTGCAGTTTGTTTGGCTCGTAGCCTGAAAATCGTCAATGAGGCTTTGACGTCACTTGATCTGGGGTTTAATGAGATAAGGGTATGGCTACATCTTTGGATCAATATCTCCTATGGAAGGTTTTCTTTTTGCTGGTGCGCATGCACATGGTACATAGTTACACATACAAAGAGAGAGAGAGAGAGAGAGAGAAGATGCACCACATGTTTATCCCATCTTGCACATTGGACCCTCAATTCACAGAAACCATAAATGGGTGGGCATCACTGAGCAGATGCAATAATGTATTGATTTCCCCTTAATGAAGTCTCCTAATGGTTGCAGGATAGGGGAGCCTTTGCTCTGGCTCAAGCACTCAAGGCCAACGAAGATCTAGCTGTGACATCCTTGAACCTCTCGAGCAACTTCCTTACAAAATATGGGCAGGTAAGAATCTTCTCCTGATTGTGTTGAATAATTTGTGTTGAATAAGATCTCTCTCTCTCTCAGACAAACAATAATTGACCGAATCCTCTCGCTTCCTCATAGTTAACCAGATATTTTTCACGTAGTTTCCCCTAATCAAAGATTTTGTAACTTAGGTTGCCTTGACAGAAGCAAGAGACCATATATTTGAAATGTATGATGGGAAGGAGGTCGATATTTTCTTTTAGGTGAGATTCTGTGAGTTGTATTTCAAATATTATTTGCCATATGGATTTCATAATTCTTACAAAACTACATTGGCCATTTTGTTAAGGCTATGTAGAGATTATTTTGAGTACAAACCCACTGCAAATGAGTTTGGAGAGCAGGAATATCCGTAAGATTGCTGGAGAGAAGCTCTAAGGCATCTCTCTTTATTTTTGACAGATTGCTAGTTTTGGAGGTTTAATTATACGTGTACATTAGTATTTCAACGATATAAATCTCTCTCTCTTCCCTGCAACCCTTTTCTTCACCAGGATGTCATATCGTTTTTAAACTCGATTGAGACTCAAGACTCATGTGTATGCGTGAGGAAATGGAACCTGACTATGCGAGGAGCTATCTTGAATTGTTTGTCAGACTCATCTTTTCACGTAAAATGCTAAATACAAGAACTCATTGTTCAATAGTGAGACACAGGCCTTCAAGAAAATTCATTCTTTGAATGGGAATAACTAGAACTGTGGCTTCTATAACTGTTTTTTGGATGGTAGTTCAGTGGAAAAAGGGTCTCTTATCTATAGTAGGAATGGAACTCAAAACTCCACGTTGGGGTTTTCTTTAATCACATAGCCTTGAACACATTTTTAATTCATGTAACAATATTTTTCTTCACACCAAATTATCTGAAGTCTTTGTTAATTTTCTCTCTAAACTCCCATCCGTAATATTGTCTTTATTTGAACCCTTCTTAATATCTCTTTGATGTTTAATGCAAACTATGATTTAAAAAGTAATTAATAAGAGCAAAAAGAACAAAAAAAATTAATAGAAAATTTAGAAATAGCTTTTGTCCATTTGAAGTACATGAGGCCAGCTCAGGGTAGGGTGTGTGTGTGGCATTTAATTGGAGTAGGGCCTTGTAAAGAGCCTTAGAGTAGGACATCTACTTTAAGGGGTTACCTATAATAAGTACTTCCACAATTAATTTAATTACCATTTGTAATCTAATTAGAAATAAATGGTTGATCTAATTGGTAAAAGAAACATCTTTTCAATTAGCAATTCACATGCTAATAAAGGAGAGTATTATTGACATTATGCCTGAACTAATGCGTGATCCTCAAATTTGAAGGATATTTGTTTGGGTGAAAAATAATGGATTGCATCACACATTCATCTTGCTAGTATGTTAATTAAGCCCATTAAAAACACGAATTACAAAAGCAAGGATTTTATATGGTAGTATTATGCTTATTAAAAGCCAAAAAAAAAAGAAGACAAAATTAAACAACTATAAAAACAATATAGAATGAGTTAAGCATATGGTGAAAAAATTATAGTGTTGATCATAAAAAATTATAAATGTTAATTTTAACATAAATTCTAAGCAAGAACATCTACAATGGAGCGCACCAAACATTGAATTCTAAGCAAGAACATCTACAATGGGGCGCACCAAACACTTGCCAGTTGTTAATAAATGGAGGGGACATGGCTCCAAAGAATTTTGTGTTCTGACTTGGGTTTGATGGGTTAATGGATGGAGAAAGGTTCAACACTACATCCCAAATTTGATACCGAGTTACCACCCCATGTTTGATTCCCACCGAAAGACTGCCAGGAAGAAATAAAATTGTAGGCAGGTGAGGTGCATTTGTTTAGGGCATGGCCTTTAATACAGGATATCGACCCAAACATTATCTCGAAAAGTGAAATAGTTGCTCGATCGCAAACTCACGTCTTTTTTTTGACAATATTCCATAACTTTATTGCTCACAAGCGAATTACAATAAACTCACACAAGAAGAACATTGGAAACAATCAGTGATTGCAAAGAAACACCTATTTTAGCCTAAGACTCGGCTACGTCATTGTCCTCTCTGTAGACATGTCTATGTGTGACATTCATACCATGCACAATCTCTATAATTTTCAGCCACTTTGATCTTATTCTCTATGGAGGTCTTGAGGTAAGGTTACGCCAATATATAACATTCAAAGAGTCCCCTTGATGTTACAAGATTGTTGGATATGCTGCTCCTTAATGATTCAAGCACTTTAATACTATTATCAATTCCGCTTCATTTGCAGTTTTATCACCACATGCACTTCCATAATAAAAAATAATCTCACTACAGTAATTTCTCACGATTCCCCCCATTCCAGCTGGTCTCAGAATACCCAACAAACTACCATCACAATTCAACGTAATGATTCCTACCACCGGAGCTTCCCAACACCCTTTCGGTCTCGTCTTTACAACTCTCCGCATCATAAGATTGGTCACATTCACTTCCAAATCCATCCTTTATAATAAAACCAATTCCATAAGGTGTGTTGTATCCGTTTTTGTACCATTTTCATTATCACCACCTCAAAAACCCGTGTATTTCTTTCTAACCATACCTCCCATAATACAACAGTGTTACGATTTAAAAACCCTCTTAGATGCGGAAACAAGAATCCCAAAGTTGGATCCCAACAAGATCGTGTATTTATCCAGCTAAAAACAAAATAGGAGAGAGAACGAACCATAATACGAGAAATAAAACATGAAACCCACACACCACAAGAACACAGAGATTTACGTGGTTCATCCCAGAAGGGCTACATTAATCCATTATACCAATAAAAGTTACATTACAGATTTTGGGACACAGAGTTACCTCTCTAACTTTCGACAAAACCCAGTCGAGAAAACCTTTTTAGACCCAGTCTCCCGATCGGCACCATTGTCAATCTCTCATCTCTATTCCACAGCTAAAACATTGTCCAAGAATATACCATCTCCATTCCACAGCTAAACCACTGTTCAAGAGGAGAACCTTGAGAGTAACTGGGACTTTCTCTCTCTAACGGGGAAACCACCCAAAATCTTCAGGAGAACTTCTTCTCTACAACAAACCAGAATCTCAATTTACCAGAGGCACATCTGTGGCGTTTCTCCACCTCAAATAAAACGCTCGCATACTTTGTGATGTGGTTTTTTTCAACTGAATGCGCAAACACTAGCCTTGTACTGAACCGTGCGCTTTGATACCACTTGTTAAGATTTAAGAGCCCTCTTAGATGCGGAACAAGAATCTCAAAGTTAGATCCCACCTAGATCAGTGTACTTATCCAGCTAGAAACAAAACAGGAGAGAGCACGAGCCATAATACGAGAAATAAAGCATGAAACATACACACGCCACGACAAAGAGATTTACGTGATTCACCCCAAAAGGGCTACATGGATGTGACATACTGAAATCTACTATACCAATGAAAATTACATTACAGATTTTAGGACAGAGAGTTATCTCTCTAACTCTCGACAAAACCCAGTCGAGCTAAGCCTTTTAGATCCAGTCTCTTGATCGACACCATCGTCAATCTCTCATCTCTATTTCATAACTAAACCACTGTCTAGGATGAGAACCTTGAGAGCAACCAAAACTTCCTTTCTCTAAAGAGGGAAACCACCCAAAATCTTTATGGGAACTGCTTCTCTACAAGAAACAAGCCTCTCAATTTACAAGAGGCACATCCGTGGCGTTTCTCTCCACAGGAAGCTTTCTTCTCTCTAAAGGAGGCCTTACCGATGTTGACAAGGCCCTCTCTTCTCTCTAAAGGAGGCCTTACCGATGCTGATAACGCCCTGCCTCTCTCTCTAGAATAAGCTACCTTTATATGGTGACTCAAATAGGACACACATAATTCTCTGCACTTTCATCCCATATATATAAGGTTAGGTGTCCACATCAAATAAGAAACTTCTCATAAATGTTACATATATCTCAAGAACCAAGAGATATATCCCAAAGTCCTAATCTTTTTGGATTTTTATTTCCTTTAAAAAAATTATAAATATTAATCTCAATCCCACATAATATGGGATTTTCGTATATGGGTGATTTTGTATATCACTATATCCAACAAGCAGCTTTCTCAATATGAAAAATTATACTCCACACCTTTGACAACCACACTTCTCAAGCACCTTCTCATGAACTTGAATAAGTAACATTCTAAAGCTAAAAAAAATAAGATATTGAATCAACATTTCAAATATGCAAGATGCAAGACATATTTCCAACATTGATATAAATTTATTCTCTTAGTAAAAGCGAGGCCCCGAGGCTCTTATTCTTCTTTTTTTCCCTATTGATTAGGGACCTTGGGAGGTTTGGAACACCATAACACGTTGCAACTTAACCACCATCCAAAGACATCAGGTACTATTGTTTTTTGTAAGTTTTTGAGGTATAAGGATAGGGATTGTCTACCAAGAGATTATTTATCTTTTGTATATAGAAGACACAATCATTCAAACTCATTAGATGTCAAATTAGATGGCTTGGGGTGAGTTATGAAATCTGATATATATATTTTTTGAACTTTGTATCTATTTAATGACACTCTTACTCATTTTGAAATTTAAGGGACGAGAGTGATTGTGACCTCCAAGTACAAAAGATCGATGCTCTCTTCGTAGACAATTTTGGTGGGACAATTGATAATACATATCGGATAGTTTTTATTTTGTAAATTATTTTGATGTGAAATTTGGTCTGTACCCACTTCTCATAAGGATACCTAATTAAAATGGAAAAAATATCTCTAAAAAATAAATAATCAAAATATTACATAAATTTTAAAGGTGTTGTGGTCATTGTATTTTTCAAAAATATGTTTATTTATTTATATTAACTATACCCTTGTCAATCGACACATGCCCTAAATCTCATGTCCAAATAATTTACGAAAATTAAATATAAATAAATGTTAGACGTGACATTTGTCATTGAATCGACCAATCATCCATTCAGATCAGTCGACAATTTATTCAGAAGAGCGGTCACATGTGTCTTATACGTTGCTGGTGCCCTCTGAAGAAAGCTTCCCTCACAGAAAAAACTTGCGGCTTCCTCATCCTTGAGTTCTCTCTCTCTCTCTTCGTTGAAACACTTTCTCTGCCTTCCTTTCCCCCTGTTTTTCTTTGTTTAATTCCCCCCCATGGTTATCTTTTAACCTTATTTCCTTTGAGACGTCTTTAAATTCTTATCGCATACCAACTGAAAAATGTCAGTTTCATGGAACCGCACCTAAAAGATCAAAATTTCTGTAATCAAAATATGATTAAAATGAAGAAAATTTATCAAGTTAGTCACAAGATGTGAATAATTTAACATCTTAATCATAGCTTTTACTTTATTTTCATAGTACCCATAAGAAATACATGATCTTGAGTTAGAATATTGCCACATGAGTAGAATGCTAAATAGTTCATCTATATTTTGATAAAGGGAAATGACCTCTTGAAACCCTCCCCCACCATGTATAAGACCCCAACGGATCACTATTAAATTTGACACAAATCTCTAAAATATTCAAATCCTACACCCATACAATTATTTTTCTAACTATCTGAACCAAATTTAATGACCATTCTTTGAAATCCTAAATATATGGATGTAGGAAGATCTCATAGGATCATTACTCTTTGATAAACGTACCTTAAAAATAACTATTCTAACCAATGAATATGTCCTTTACGAGATTTTTCATATCAAACCAAAAGAATTGATAAGATGGTTGGCTTTTAAAAAAAAAACGTTCCCACTAAAAATTCATTAAGTGCATAATTTTTTGAGTAGAAACTAAGTCATTTGCTCCCTCGTTGAATCTCTAAGCACATTTGTCTATAAGAGTATTTTCACATCAACTAGCCACCAATTGGTGTGACAAAATGTACTGAGACCAATTGGTGTGACAAAACGTACTGAGACCAATTGGTGTGAAATAACTTCACACTTAATTACATGAGGGAGATTTTTCATGCAAAAAGTATTTTCACGTACACCAAAAGTGCAATGCCCACATTGTAATAAAGTAATTTTGAAAAGGACACAGCACTGCTGCCTAAAAATTTCAATCTTGGCATGATATACCATAAAATTAATTAATATGTAAAGATGTGATTACTGATACAGATGCAGAACCACATTCCCCAGTTGATCTTTAACCAGACAATAATAAAGAGGACAACGAAATTGAGAACACAAATCTCATCGCCCTTCCCACGTTCTCTTTTATCAAAAGAATCAGGTGAGGTTAAGTCCATCTTTCCGCCAAAAATATCGTCATCTGCATTAGGTCAGGTGCGATCTCTCTCTCTCTCTCTTCCAATGGATGGTATGCTACAAGGAGGCAAGGAACTCTTCTTTTCGTAAATGTTTCTAAGTGAAAGGTAAGGAGGCCATTCCTCGGGTAAAATCAATCATCATCATCATTAAATGTAATCTTGGTGGACTTCAGGGCATCTTTGCCAATTTCTTTGAAGTGTGCTCCATATAGCTTTGATTCCTGCATTGAGATGAAGAGACTTAACTGTTTCTAAAGAATATCCAATTACCCTCAAGAAACATAAAACGACTCCTGTAAGAAGGCTTGAAGCCCGCATCATATGCCAGTTTTTTAGATGATTTTTTGTTTGTTTTAATCATTAGTTATTCAGATGAGCATGGAGAAGGCAAAAACAACATTTAATATGGAATAAAGAATCAAAAGGGTATAATGATACTTTATACCTTTTTCTTCACATGAGTGCCAAATTTTAGGAGAGCCTCAGGCACCACCTGCCCAGCTTCCCTGAGGACATTCACAAGCTCTCCAGCAAGACCCTGAAATCATGCAACCTCATGTCTCTAACCAGAAGGGAGCAATAAGGCATAAAAATTAAAAGTAACTTCTAAAGCTCAAAAAAATATAATTTTTTGTTTATTTATGAAGAAAACCAAAATCTCGAAAACATTTGAGTACCTTATTCTCCTGGGTAAAGAAGGTATGGGCAACTCCCTTCTTGCCAGCACGCCCTGTTCTCCCTATCCTATGGACATAGTCCTCTGTAGTGAGAGGAAAGCTGTAATTGATCACCACTTCAACACTGGGAATGTCTAATCCTCGAGAAGCCACATCAGTGGCAATCTGTCAAAAATCCACCAGTCAAATTGGATGTACGTAGTCAGGGAGTGAGAGAGAAAGAGAGAGAGCACTTATACAAAAAAAAACAACACTTGGGGAAGGGGAAATCCGCAGTTTTTGCCACCAGAATTTTTTTAATGGCCTCACTACAACCATAGTTTGAGATATTTCAAAATTGCTACCCCAGTATCCTGATTCTCTTATTTATGAATTTTTTCAATGGCCTCACTACAACCATAGTTTGAGATATTCCAAATTTGCTACCCAGGTATCCTGATTCTCTTATTTATGAATTTTTTCAAATAAATTTATTCCAAAATTGCTCTTAATCTTACTTAGTTTAATTGTTTCCCCAAAAGAAAAATATCTTTCATGGCTACCTCTGACGACCACCACAACGACCAACTCCCTGACACAACAATGCCACTCCTAACTTTACCACCAGTTTGCCCATCGGCTTTTCACAGTAAACCATCTACTTAGACTATGAAACATGAAAGGCAGTGTATGATAAATCAATCAGCTCTGACTTATTACATCATATTGCCATTTTAATGGAAAATAGTGACATTTCTGAAAGGTAGCAGGACGTTATTGAGAGCAATAATGTAGTGAAGATGCATGGCAAGTTTTGAACTTCATAGGTAAAAAGAGGCTATTCTCATACTCTTCTTATCTAAAAATATCTAATTATTGGCAACTTAATGATGAAATAATGGAAATTATGGTAAAAATTCAATTTAAAGGATGGCAACTCACCATGAGAGGGCATTTTCCCTCCTTGAATAAAGAAAGAGACTTAGTTCGGTCCTGCTGAGCTTTGTCTCCATGCACAGACACAACCTTCCATCCCCTTCGAATTATAATGGAATAAAAAAAAAGACATCAATATATTTGCCACAATTAGTCTCAGTTTTACAACATTTCCACCACTGGAAGTTCACAGTGCTTATGTCATTCCGAAGGAAATTTGATAAAACTTTAGAAGCAATGGCATGCACTAAACAAAGCATAAATATCAGCAACCGTAAAAAGAAGCAATCAGCTTAAACTATACCTTCTTTGAAGCATAGTTTCAACCCGAACTGCTTCTTTCTTATACAAGACAAAGACCAAGACTTTGTTCCTGTCACAAAGGTGTCAGGCAGGTAGCAAGAGTTGAGATCAATAAAAAGAAAACATAAGAATCACTAGTGGCCATGTTCATTTCCTTCAAATGACTCGATATCCCTCCATGATAGTGGAAAATGGCTAACAAATATTTAGGACATTACAAATGTAAGCCTATTTTGCCACTAAATGTTGCATCAATAGATAAGGTAATACCAAATTATGAAAATCGCATCAATAGATAAGGTACCCCAGCCAAGCACGGATTTCGTAATTTAAGTCATCTGGGTTATTTTGTAAAACTAGCTGCTTGTCTCCTCAATGCATGAACAAAGAAAGTCGAGAGCTCACAGTAGACAGAAGAAAAATAATTAGTTATAGTTTCCATATGACATGGTTGGTGCTTTCCAAAAGGGCAGTCACGGTCAAACATCAAAAATTATAAACCTCTAAAAAGCCAAAGCCATCTTAAAATCCTTTTTTATAATAGAAAACTCCCTTAATTGGCCATATGAAACAGTATTTCTTGTGAACATATCAAAAAGCAGTCTGAAAAACCTAATCAATTATGAGCCAAGTGGTTGTTAGAAACAGTGGCACAAGTATAATCTTGATGTAATGGGTTTTAAACTTTTTTTCTCCAGTTGCACACGTATAATCTTGATGGAATGGGTTTCAAACTTTTTTTCACTTCTACTAATTTTTTTAGTTATTAAAAATTAAATTTAGGTTATATGGTCTTTTATTTATTTAAGTTAGGGTATTCGTGTCTTTTTTATTCTAGATAATTGAGGAGTAGATTTGGAAGTTTTCTTTAAAAATGAAGGACTAGGATCTAATATCGATTAGTTCATTGAAAAAGATAAAGTACCAAGGAGAATGGTGGAATTCATCACCGACTATTCAAGTAGTCTTTGAAGGATGCGATAAATACAACAAGCTCGAGGTCGAGCTTATCCCAACCCTCGGAGAATGATGTAATCGAATTTTAAAAAAATTTCTCTTTGACTAACTTCTTTTAGATACTAAATGTAAATTTAGATACATGGTCTTTTATTTATTCAAGTTAGAGTATTTGTATCTTTTTTTTTATTGTAAAGAATTGAGGGATAGAATTGGAAGTTTGATTCTTAAATGATAAAGGGCTAGGATTTAATATTAGTTAGGGTTTCTTAGGGAGCAAGTTGGGTTTAGGGGTTTCATTATATAAATATACATGTTTAAGAATTGGACAAAGAAGAAGAGAAGAAAAATTGAGTTTGGGTGTTATGAAAAGATCTTTTGGTGTAGACTCCTCCACAAACCCTAAGAGAGTATAATCTCTCATTCCTTTAATTTTATTTTTAGTTTTCTGATTTATGTATTTTATCTCTCCTCTTCCCTACATCAAATCCATAGCAGTACCTCTGGGACTGGTGGTATTTGTCCAGCAAGGAGATCAAGCGTGTATCTCGTGAACGCTCGTCCAAGACCTAGAGGTGAAAAATATATATAACATGAATAACACAAAATAGCTCACATAAAGAGACTTCCTTGATAGTGAAAGCTAGTAATTTTAGCACAAAGTACTTCTTTCAGGGTACCTCTACTATCTGCATAACATCATGGTTTGCAGCTAAATCCTCCGAACCCACGACAACCTGGAAGCAAATAAATTGAAATGTTTAATTGAAGATACTAGCAATCCAGTAACATAAATAACCAAGAAACTAATCTTGACAGGATATCGATCAAGACAAACAAACCTTCACAGGACTTGGATCCATAAATTCTTGAGCTAATTGATGAACAGCAAGAGGCCATGTTGCACTAAACATGACTGTCTGACGAGCTGCATGAATAAAGAATGTTTCAGATTGCTGTAGGAATTTCCATGGTAGCTAACAATTATATTAAATGTGCCTATATTTTTTGAGGATAAACAAAGCTAGGAACACACAACAGAACAAATCATCTCATGCTTAAAAGTAATAATTTGGGGAGTTGAAGTCCAAGACACAAGTCAACAAATTATGCAAACAACACAACTGGACAGAAGTTATTTCGTTCATGTCAAAAACCTATCAATGTGCTACGTACATGGTGTAATATGCATATATCATGAGTATCTAAACATTTGTGATTTGATTCAAGAGGTTCATTAGAGACCTCCCATGATGCCAAAAGATTACTCAAGGATGAAAATTTTCAAGAAGTTTGTCAAGAGATCTTTTCGTGGAAGACTCTCAAGGATCACGAATAAAAAATAAGCCATGACTCTTTGGAGAGCTTGTGTGATTGAGCATGCCAGGCACATTAGTTGTATGTTAGCAGTTGGCACAAAACACAACTGAAAGTGGGAAGGTCCATGCCCAGGCCCCATGGCACTAGCACACACTTTTCCTTTTAAATACCATATTTACAGCCCAAACATGGAAGAAAGTTCTGGCTTCGTCTCAAATCATACACCAATGTGTCATTGGGTCAATGTTATATATTTCTAACTTTTGAGAGATAAGAAGCGTGTCATAAAATCTGACCTTAAAACTCCTAATGGACAGTGCAATGTCTTGGTTACTGCTGAATTCTAATTGAGCAGAATCCATGACCTTATCTAGGATTCTAGGTTTGGCAGATTGCTACCTCTTGGATACATATTTTCTACAGATTTGAAGGTCAACTATCAAATATAAAGCTCATGTTCTAAAAATTAACAACTGCATTCTTCTTGTAACATATTTAGCTTCGACCACCAGTTTATCACTACTAAACAAAAGATAGTGACCAGCCATGCATACCAATCGCAGAGACATAATTAGATTAGGAAGGGTGGGGATAGGAAGATCAATATAAATATGTGAGGTACTTACAAATAAAAAAAGGGGAATGATTTCATGCAACGGTTTTATAAGAAAACAATATGCTAGGGTTATTTGTTTGACCCCAATTTCTAAATATATGCTCTTTACATTTAGATGAACAAGACAAAAGCAAAACAAACTTAAAAGTGCACCCTAAGAAGTGTTTCTTTAACCCACTAAACATAGGCTATCCATTTGGTAAGATGCTTAGATCTATGCCTTAGAAGGAACTTTTCCTTCACCAAATTTTGCAGATGGCTTTGTTATCATTAGATTAACAATGTTAAAAAAGAAGAAACTGTTTTTGATTAACAATGTTAAGGTCTAAATCTTAAATTCATCAAATGGGGGGTCAAGGTTCATTATTTGGACTGAGCTCATTTTCACTATATGTAAGGTGCAAATTTAATTATTTTTTTGGGATTGATTGTTGGGATGAAGAGAGTGCCTATGCAAATTTAGGGTGCCACAGATATGGTCGTCTAAAAGTGCAGCTTCATTATATTACAATGACAAGGTGACATGAAATCATTCCCCCAAAAAAAAAATGCTATGAGGAATTAAATAACTTAAACCTCACAAGGATATAATATATGATAATCACATATCCTTGTAACTGAGAACATCCCTAACATAGGTAATAAAGTATAAAGAAAAGAAAAAGCAGACCATTGAATTCCAGCCTTCTACAAATATTCCTAATGAATCAGGCGGGCACAAATGACTACGTATGACTATGTAGCATAATGAGTTCCCTTCAATCTTAGTTCGGGATAAGAGAAAAGGTCTGATGAAATGACAGAGGAAATACCAGTGGATGAATTGTTGTGACCCAAGTTTATTTTTTCTATTTGTAACAAATAACTTAGTCAAAGTAGGAGTATAAGCAGAACAAAGGAAATAAAAGTTCTAAGGTAATGAAATACTCCGTGACCTCACTTGCTCCTAGCTGCACATCAGCCATACAATCACCTACCATGTATAACCACATGCATAAATAAACAAACCTGACCAAGCATATTAAAAAGATTCAGCAGAAAGTATTAACTGGTCATACAATCAAATCTCCAGCAAATAATCAAGTAGCATGAGAGAAAAAGGCCATACTAAAGTTTCTGTGTCAGCAAAACCAGACCAGAAAGACCACATAGCCATAAAGACCAGTGATACACAGAGATGACTTCTAATGTTTCAACATTAAAGATTTTAAAAATCATGTTCCAGATTGCAAGAAACTGTCCTTCGATATAGAGAAAAAGAAAATGCAAACTAAAGCATTAGCATTTGAAATTTGAAAACAGTACATACAACGGCAAGTTTGGCTCAGTATGGAGCGCACTTCTGGTTCAAATCCCATATCAAGCATTCGATCTGCTTCATCCAAAACCTACAAATTGTCAACAATTATAGCTTCAAACAAGAGTAAAGAGACATTAAGTTATGCAAGAGCATTACGTCCAAGTCCCAAGCAACCCCCGAATTAGTTTGGACATAGGTTGCATGGAGAAATTTAAATAGAGCTAAAATTACAAATAACATCTGTTAAAGGGGAGAAAACAGCAGCTAAATGTGCTAGGAATATCCATTTATCTAAATGGTGGATACGAAATATTGAAGAAGTGAAATGGAACCAATTTGTGTTGTACCAGATGAAAAATGCAAAAACACAATTAATTTAGGAAAAAGAAGAAAAGCATAAACCTAACATTATCAATGATCTGAGCATTGCATTGAGTTTTTTTTTCCATGAAGCTAAATTATGCGTTTTACAGTATAAGAGACATTTGGAGCAATGATTGTCATGAAGGCCAAATATCAAGGAAGGAGAACACTCCCAATAAAAAGTTCATCTCTACATTCCTACTCTATAGCCAAGAGAGTATGTGACTGTGTGACATCAAAAAGAACATACACGGGTCTAAGACATCCAAGATTTCTTTCGAAACAATCTCAATATTCCCATCACAGATATTCTTTTTTTAGTTCAATATTTGCCCCACAAGGTTATTCCATGGAAGAAGTTAAAGTGGCAGGACTAGAAGAGATGTCAAGAACTTTTGAAGTTTGCAGCAAGGATCAAGGCAATTCCAGAATGAAGAATCTGATGGCACCAACTATGGGTTCTTAAAGTTTTGATGGCAGCTCTAACTGAAATCCAAACCTTATTGGTCTTGGTAATGTGATTACCTAGGCATTGAATGCACTCCGACAGAAGTTGAAGCATTGTCAGAGGATATTCAGTTCTAGGCAAGTCAGTTCATCAAAATTGCAATAATCAAGGTGAATTGTCAACTACTGTCATGTAGTTGAGGAAAAAGTCTCCATGCTCAGGGTGAATTAGTGGCATGATGGCATCTCCGATGAGATTTTTGAATTGACAAATAATCAATTAAAGTGAGCAATATAAGTCATGTGGTAACAGAAAGGTAAATTCATGGCATGTGGTCTGATTAATCTAGGTTTCTCAGAAGTGGATAAGAGTCTCTAGGATTCATGTATTAATGTGTTTCCCCTTTTGAATGAAATTGTTATTCATTTAACAAAACATAAAGAAACCAACAATGAAGTATCTGTGCTATATTTAATGACTATTCCACCGTACATTACACTAACGCAATCTGTTTGCACCGATGTTTTAAAAAACAGACCAGTGGGGCGGATCATCTACCCCCGATCCCCATCCATATCGGCTAGATCGGCGCAGATTGTTCTTGGATCATCCGGAATGGTGACCAATAAAATATTTAAAAATAAATCAAATAAAACTAAAAATTAAAATAGAGGTTTATGGGGTGGGGATTTAAGGGGGAACCAAGTACAACATTAGATAAGCTTAAAGAGAAAAGAAAAAGAATGAAAATGGGGATTTTAGGGGGGACCGGGTCCCATAACATCCCGGAACCGGTTTGGTCCCAACCATTTCCACATCCACATCACCGATCTGGATTGGAAATTGCCGGGTTTTAAAACACCGTCTTCACACCCTTTCACTGTACTTCTATGAAACTTGCACATCAATAAAAAGGACTGCTTCACCATATTCCTCAAAAGCTTCACCATGAACATGATTCACTATTCAATGAGCATCTTAGTTCAAGACTTTGTACCCGAAGTAAAAGCCACCAAGGCATTTGCCCTTAAAAACACTAAATAGTTACTCAGTTAACAAAGGAGAAAACCATTACAAATAACTTATTTGATATAAATAGTGCTATCAGCAGGAATTCATTGTAGACTAAGTGACTAACAAAAAAACAGAATCAATGGTTGCTTTTTCTAGATCATGCTTCACTTACCACGAATGAGACCTCCTCAAGGCAGCACAGACCAGCCTCCATTAGATCTTTCAATCTACCAGGAGTTCCAATAACAATCTCCTAAAATGCAAATGAGAAGAAAAACGTCATTTAAATTGAGAGATCAAATTTAACAGCAAACTGTAGGGTGTGGCGGGGTTCCACATGCCTAACTAAAACTAGCAGCTGTCTTATAAAAATGTTAACGTTGCATCAATTCCCCAGCAGGCAAAACACATAAAATAGAGTCACAATCAGAACCCAAATAAAAGAAAATAGAAAATCTGAAAAAGTAAATAAGACAAAATATCAAAAAGGAATTTTTGGCTCAAGAATAAAAGCATTTATGCAAGCATTTCTAATGGAAAATATATAACTTCTTTACAACATCTAGTTTCACTATAACAAATTTACTGATCCTCCTCTTTTACATTATAAACATAAAAAATAGATTTGTTCCAGAAAGAGGTCAAGAAACTTCTTACAACACCAGATTTCAAAGAAGATATTTGTGGTCCTTTGGAAGTTCCTCCGTACAAGCATACACATTTTATGTCACAGGGCTTCCCAGCATCAGAAAGAACGTCTGCAATCTGTCCCAAGAAAGGACCACATTAAACTTCCAGTATAACTGAATGCCAAATATGGGTTTGTCATAGACTCTAGCATGTCGACAAGAATAACATGAATACAAAAGAAGCAGGTCAGAATAAGTAAAATTACTTCAATAGGCTTAGGCTCACACGAGCAAAGCCACCAGAAGGTTCTAAGATTCAACTTTGAAGGCAGCTCCTACAGGACCCCAAGGTCATCCAAGGTGGGGGTCATAATTAAAGATAGCACCTGCAGGACACTTGATGCCTTTTTTCGGCTTATTGCCATTTGTACAGAAGCAAGAGCTCTTTTGAAAGCCTTAACATATATATTTGTTTTCCTCTAAGATCCTGTAAATATGATTGGGTCTTCAATAGTAATGACTAATGACAGAGGACTAGGATTTTCCTATCAGATGTAGGAAGATCAAGGAGATTTCCCAGCTCATATATCTTTTAATAGGGGACGCTTTTCCACTCCCTTAACCTTTATTTTTCCTGATGTATTCTGTTTTTGGACTTATTTTACAGGATTATTGTCATTAATACATCATTCTTCAGTTGTGCCCTTTAGTTGCATTCAATGCAACTTGATATAAACCTTCTACTTTTGTAATATAATGGAAGTAAAGAGAAAATCAATATCTTGTTACACTTCAAAGGTAAACATAAGTATTGGATTCAGATTTATGACCAAAGATCAATGCAACAAACAATGGTTATTGAGAACAAACGAGAGGTTTACTTCCAGACTCAGCAAGCTTCCAAGTCTGAGTCAGACTCCCTGACTTGTTTGAACACTGGTCCAAATAGACCTGCCCTGAGAACAAACTTTAGGGAGGAACACATGCGAATGAAATAACACTTCAATATACCAGGGTATCTTGAAGGAGACTTCAATGAAGTCCTCTAATCCACTGAAAATAACAGAGGATCCATCACATCCAGCATGGAAGGATTTTTCATCTTTCATCAGCACCCATAAACTGTTAGAAATCCCTCTAAATAGAGCCCAAATAACTTGATCAAACTTGAACCACAACAACATTTCGTTCTCACCGAACTAGATTCATTCATAGCATCCACAGATTGGAAATCCCTTCCAAAACACCCTTCAGATCATTCCTCATCCTCCTTGACCCTTCCAAAACCCACTTCAGATCATTATCTTATCCTTCGAGGTTGATGGACAGGCTGGATTGGAGCCACGTAAGAAGCAGCAGCTCCTTAAACTAAAGCTAAAACATTGGAATCGCAATGTGTTTGTTGCTGCAAAAACATAAAGCATAACCTTCTCCATGCCATTGTCGATCTGGATTGCCTACTGAAGAAACCAGGTATTTACTGCACAATAAAAATATGCCATAATTGAGGCAAAAGTGACCCTGCAACAGACACTACAAGAGGAGATCTTTTGGCTGAAGCGATCTAGGGCAGAGTGGACTAGAGAAGGAGACCTAAGCACAAAATTTTGCCACAAGATTTATCAACAATGAGGCAATAGTATTCAACATGCAAAGGTGAATGACCGGACTATTGGAGGACACAAGGTAGTGGAAAGAGAAATTGTTAGCTTGTTTACATGGCTCTTCAGAGCTGACCGAATTAAGGGACCCAGTTCAGAGAACGTTAGCTTTGAGTGTCACAAGCAGAACAGAAAATTTGCTAAGAGAAACCCTTGCAATAACCAAGGTGAGGAAAGTTGTAATGGAGCATGGACTGGACAAAGCCCAGGGCCAGATGGGTTCCCAATTGCTATATTTCAAGACCACAGCTTTATAAATCCCCAATCACGATCAGGATTGGAGCGTGATTAGGCCGATTCCCTCCCATAATTGGGAATCCTTTTTTTTATGATTTAAAATTTAAATCATCAAAGAAACATAAGAAAGATGGCTCTATACGGCCTTTATTTCTTTTCCCCCTTTTTTTTTGTTGGTCTTTGTTGGATTGCCAACCTGAACAATCCAGATCAGCCGAATAGGCAGGTCCAGACTGACCACCTAGCCAATCCATTTTTCTGAACCTTGTTCACGACTATTGGGAATTAATGCATGAGACGTACTTGCAAAACATGGATCATCGACCTAGAATTCTATGCGCAACACCTTCCTCAATCTCTCCATTCTCATGGATTATCGACCTCGAACATCGAAAATTATCTCTTTTAAGTACTTCTTGGCCATAAATCTTGACAATTATCTTGTTAGTACTCCTATTATTACTAAATTTGTTCGTTTAAGTCATCCAGCATAAATATGGCACTAATACACTTGTTGGTTTCGACGAGCCTCCAATGCATTGAGGGGTATTGCTATTGTTTGCTAAGACTTCATAAGTCTACTAGATAAAATGGGGCAATGGATCATATACTAAAATTATCTTTGGGTAGGATACGAATTTGTGGCCAGCAAATTGGGTGGAGAGCTGGAATAAAGTCACAATATGGAGTCCTGAATTTAGGTGAAACTTAAGAGATAATGACTATAGTCCATAGCTACTGGGAATGGAACCGAATCAGATCTAGGATTGAGACCACAAGAACGTGACAAGTAGGAAGCCCCTATGGTACATACAATGGTCCATAAATCCTAAAATCTAAAAATCTCATTCCCAATATGAGGGATGTGGAGGAGTTTGATCCAAAATTAATTGGGATCGAATGGTAAATTTTACATGACCAAGCTCCATTTGGTTAAAAATCAATGCCCCAAGAATACTAACTAGTGTAGTAGTATAATATATACCACTATATTATATACCATACTGCTATACAATACTACAGTGTTATATACTATACGACAATGTTGTGCACTATTCTGCTATACCATATGCTCCATCATCATCATCATCATCATCATTTTAGCATTTTTCCAACTAATTGTCGGCTACATAAATCTTGGTTCTCCATTCTGCTATATTAAAGGCCATATCCTCAGTGAGGCCATAAGTCCCCATATCTTTTCGGACTACTTCCAACCACATCCTTTGGGGCCTACGCCTTGCCTTTTTCAGTCCATCTACTTAAACTAACTCGCACCTCCTAACAAGCGTTATACTTGTTCAACTCCACACATGGCCAGCCCACCTAAGTCTACTCTCTCATTTTATCGCCTATTGGCGCCACGCCTAAATTATCTTGAATAGATTCATTTCGAATTTTATCCTTTCTTATCTTGCTACTCATCCATCTCAACATCTACATCTCCGCTACATTCATTCTATGGGTATATCGTTTTTTGTCAGCCCAACATTTCGCCCCATAGAGCAAAGCTGGTCTCACCGTGGTCCTATAGAACTTACCCTTCAGCCTCATTGGTATGCAGCGATCAAATAAAATTCCAGTTGCACATTTCCACTTCGCCTACCTAGCTCTAATTTGGTGTGCGACATCTTCCTTGATCTCTCCATTTTGCTGAATTATCGACCCGAGATATCGAAAGTGTGGTCTTTTTTGTACTTTCTGTCTGTCAATCTTGACTACAGCCTCGTCTCTATTCTTATTATTACTAAACTTGCACTCCATATACTATGTCTTAGTCCGACTAATTTTGAAACCTTTGGATTCTAGAGCATCCCTCCAAAGTTGTAACTTTGTGTTGATGTGGTTTCGAGTCTCATTAATTAAAACTATGTCATCTACGAACAACATGCACCACGGTACCTCATCCTATAAGTACCTCATCCTGTAGCATTGCTGTCAGTAATATATAATATAATATTGTATATATTATATAGTTGTAAGTAGTGAATATGCGAAGTCACTACTTACAACTATGGAATATATACAATATTATATTATATATTACTGAAGTATACAACAATGCTAGACTTTATTATATTGCTATATCATACTACTAACTAAACCACACTGCTATACTAGTTTATACTGCTACATTATACTACAATGCTAAGGAATATGGATCTTCTGTAAATTGGGATCTCAATTACTAATAGGAAAGATCAAGATTCCAAAGTTTAAAAAATGCAGAAGAGCAAGATTCCCTTCCCTAGCATGCAGGAACGAGATTCTGGATGTAATCAAGCCCTTGGTTGGAAGATCCGTAACTATGCCACAAACTAACTGCGAAGGAATAGGGTTGACTCCATTATCTAGATCTCCAACAACAAAGGTAACTTCACTATAAGGTCAATGTACAATTCTTTTCAAATTTTGTGAAACTTTTGAAAACTAAAAAAACAAATACAAAATAAGCATCGAATTCCCTCTTTGGGGTTTATATTCAAAATCAATGCTACATCCTTCCAGAGCATCGATGGATGCGATATTAATTATATCTGAAAACCTCTTATTCTCTAGATTTCATGGAAAGAAAAGGATAGAAATTAAGAAAAAGAAAAAAAATCACATTATACCTCGTCATCTTCTCTATTTTTTATTCTCTTCCTTAAAAGCTTTTGTCTCTCTCTCTCTCTTGACTTCTCTTGAATGAGTCTCAAAGCTTTCTCCTTCTGAGAAATATGTACTTCTCTCCCATCACCCTTCCTCCCTCCTCTTTTTCTTCTGAAAAGATTTTGGGAGGTTTCCATAACAACCAAGGAGTTGCCATGTGGCAAGGTATATAGCCAGAGAGATGGAATGACTATCTTCTTTTAAATTTGACAGATGGGATTGCATAACTTGCCATGGGTGCGTCATCCCACTGTAATGTTCAGAATGACAAAACTGCCACTAAACCAAGCATTCAGGTTTGGGTATGAGAATTCTGGTTTTTCACCATCTTAAGACATTTTGGGCTTTGGACGATACCATGTTCTAAGTTCTAACCGTATTTAAGGGCTAGAGAAATTTCCAGAGTGGAGAGCCATAGGTTCATCAAGTTTATGGACATGCCATCCACTGGCGTTCTCACCGCAATTCAACACTTCGAGTAAGTTCTACGGAAGTTATCACAAATATACCTTAATTTTCGTCTATTTAGAAAAAAAACCTTCAACTTTCATAAACCTCGCCCACACCTTTTTTTTTCAATTTTGGACTTTTTTTTACTAAAATAACCTTTACGGTGGTCGTATTACCGTGAAGCACCATTACGGTACTTTAAGTACCATAAAAACTAACCAGTGTTATATGGCATTTTATATACCGTAAGGAGTTGAAGTATTATTACGACACTCGAAATGACGTAATAGTATCGTACCCCATAAACCCTACCCGAAACCGTTTTCTCCTTTACGGTTGTGTTTGTATTTATCTTTTCTTTAATTCTTTTTAAATTTATCTCTTTTTTCTCTCTCTAAGTATTTTTAATATTTATCTCATCTTTCTCTCTAAACCGCCTGAGAGAGAAAGATTTAGATAGAGAAAGAAGAGATAAATATTAAAAAGAAGTAGACAGAGAAAGAAAAGATAAATATAAAAAGAATTTGAGAAAGAAAGAAGAGATAAATACAAAAAGAACCGTAAAGGAGAAATTACGGTTCTATTTGCATTTCTCTTCTTTCTCTCTCTATTTCTTTTATATTTATCTTTTATTTCTCTCTCTACTACTTTTTAATATTTACTTTTCTTTCTCTCTCTAAACCGTCGGATAGAGAAAGATTTAGAGAGAAAACATTTAGAGAGAGACAGAAGAGATAAATATTAAAAAGAATTAGAGAGAGAGAGAGAAGAGATAAATATAAAAAAAATCAGAGAGAAAAAGAAGAGATAAACACAAACAGAACCATAAAGGAGAAAAGGGTTCAAGTACGGTTTATAGGGTGCAATACTATTACAGCATTTCAAGTGCCATAATAATACTTCAACTCCTTACGGTATATAAAATGCTATTTAACATGGGTTAGTTTTTACGGTACCTAAAGTACCGTAATGGTGCTTCACGGTAATATGACTACCGTGAAGGTTATTTTGGTCAAAAAACGCCCAAAATTAAAGAAAAAAGGTGTGGGCAAGGTTTACGAAAGTTGAGGGTTTTTTCTAAATAGACGAAAATTAAGGTATATTTGTCATACTTTCCCTAATTTCTAGAATGCAAAAACATTAGGCCACATAAAACAATGTTTTAAAATGTGGAACACAATTCTGATGCGGTCAAGGAGCCAATGCAGCAATGAGGCTCGACTCAGTTCAGATGTGGGTGCATCACCTGTTGCGGTCAATAAATATAAAAAAATTCCAAAAAATCTTAAAAAATAGACTAATCCATGGAAAAAAAAGGCAGAGGTGATTTATGTGATAGTAGGTATTTAATTTATTCATTAACTCCAATATTATCAGTTGTCGGAGACTGTGAATCCCCTAATTAATGACATTAAAAAATAGAAACTAAAAACTTAAAAGTACTTTATAAAAGGCATCAGAAGACATCATATTATCATCATTCATGAACATCAAAAAACCATACCAACTTTTGACAAATCCTCATCATCAAATAATTGAAATTCATCAATTATATCTTTTTTATTTCCTTTTCTTCTAATCTTTTTGTTTTTTTAAGCTATCCATGTATCCTCTAATCTTCAGTAGCATGTACGCATGCTTTGACATTCCCATTAATACCAGCTACATGTTATTTTCGTCTGAAAGTACCCCCTATACAAATATTTCTAGAAAGCATACAAATAATGTAATTTCAATCTTTTGGATTTTTGAGTTTTGGATATTTCCAAGCCGGATCCTTGTTACCAGTGTTCCAAAAAACACGGGGCAGCACCTAGGCGGCAGGGGGTCTAGGCCACCCAGTGCTTTGGCAGCGGCCCAAAACCTGGGCATCCTAGTTCAAAAGGGGGCAAGGGGTATCTACTAATCATGTTTTAGGTCTAGATTTTGCATAAAAAATGCATTTTTTCTAATCCAAACAAAAAAACCACAAAAAATACCCAACATGATGGGTATTTTTGCACCTACGTGGGTGTAGTCCCCTGGGTGCCCGCCTAAGTGGGGTACTAGGAGGGGGCCTATGGTCCCTAGGCGGGCGCCTAAGGACAGCCAGTTTAGTTGGTCCATCATTAAGCACCTAGGAATTTGTTGGCTTTCACAGCCAATAAGAGCTTGGGCAGTCATTTTCTATGGTCCTTACTATCATTAAGCACTTAGGCATTATTACAGATTTTCACCGCCATCAATCACTTGGGCATTTTGGGTGATTCTCACAGCGAATATGCACATAAGCGTGATGTTAAGGGTATAAAAACCCAGCAAACAATAACACCCTCACTCAACCCCCCCCCCCCCTCCTCCTTCTTGACCCAGCTAAAGCTCGAAGAGTTTGGCCCTTTTCCCAAGCCGCCAAAAACTATGGATTTCTTTTGGCTCGAAGCCCTCAACAAGACCACACAGTGGAGAATCTTCAGAACAGAAGATTACCATCTTCAAGGGAGAAATTGAGTCTGTGAATTGTAAACTATTGCATGACAAAAGTAACTGCTGAGTTGTGGTCCTACTTTCTTCAATAATCAGTTTCATTTGGTCCTCGCCCGCCTCAGAGGAGGAAATTGAGTCTGTGATATTGTGTATTATTGCATCACAATGTTACCATTGAGGAGTGGTCCTACTTTCTTCAATAATCCATTTCAATTGGCCTAGGCTCGCCTCAGTTGATGAGCTCCTAACTAAATGGATTTCTCCCCTCCCCCCCCCCCTCCGTCAAAAGGCATGATCCTTTGAAGGCTCAGCATGACGGCAGTCATAATTCCACTATAAATCGAACACAACAATAGGACGTTTTTGAGCCTAAGAGGCAAGCATAAACAAACTTAAATAGAAAATCAAGACAAAAGTAGTGGCTTAGGTGAAAGCTAAAAAAGAATTATGGGGTTTCTTGGTGATAGACATTATTGGAACCAGTTTTTTATAACAACTAGATCGTTTGGACTCCACCACCACACATAATTTCAGTTGGAGCTCTCTTAGAAACCCGGGGCCCAAGGGAATATGAGGTGTCTTTCATTCTCCTCAGGCGGTGCACTGTTGAAGTTTTCCAGCCTGCTGGATTTTGCAACTCCACTGAGGCCGAAACCAAAGCCCTACTGTTTGAACTCAGATTGTATTCATCATCTAGGATCCCCTCACAAAAGGAGACTAGTTTTATCATTTAGGCTAGAAAGGAGTCATTTGCCCATGGGCACGGCATCAATCCTTTGATTAAGTTTTGACCCTTGCAAAAAAAAAAATAATTGGGGTCTAATTTAATCACTGATTGCAAGAAGAAAAATCGCTATCGGACACATCAGCAAAAGGAATGAATAGACCTTCCCTTTCAATTGTGGACTGCCTTGAAATTTTTACAATTTGGCTCATATCATTATACATGTACATCTTATCGCTATCCATGAAATTACATATTTAACAACAACAAATAAATAATTCTTAAAGTACAGGCCTGGCAGACTTACTTGTTGAGCAAGCTCCCTTGTTGGTGAGAGTACAAGGCAAAGAGGAAGTGACCTCTTTGAGTGCTTTCTGTTCTCCTTTTGCAGTATATGCATGAGAGCGGGAACACCAAATGCCAAAGTTTTTCCTGGAAAAACACATCAAATAGGCAACTAAATAATGAAAGCTAGAACACAAAAACTAGTGTATCTCCGTGAATAGGACCCTGACGAACAAATAAGCCCAAAAAAGGCAAAAACACAAAACGGATAGGTCCCAAGATTTGCGGAATAAACTGCATTATAAAAGCAATGTGTTAATCGGTAGACCAAGAACATGGCTCTTGGAATGTTATAACCAACAAACTCAGTTAGAAAATCAATTAAGTTTGTAGTTCCCATTAAAATTTATTACATGATTACAAAAGTAACATGACTCAATGTTGTGAAACCACCTGAACCAGTTGCGGCTATCCCAATAAAATCCCGGCCATCCAGAAGGAACGGCCATGAGTGAGATTGAATTGGTGATGGTTTGCTGAAACCCTTGCAACACTCCATGACAGTGTCTGGAAGCTTTGCCTCCTCAAAACACTTCAATGCAGTGTATTTTGATTCCTTGATGCATCTTCCTGATACAATCACTCCATCATCAGATGTCTCGTCGTCGAGCTTCAAACTGTTGCCGTTTTTCTGGCTCTCTTCTTGAACTTCAGCAACATCCAAATCATTTGATTCCCCCTTTATCTTCTTCTTTTTCTTCAGCTTATTGTTCTCTTTGATCACTTCATGTATTTGACCAGACTCTCCATCTCCTCTCTTCTTAATCTTCTTCTTCTGATGAATTTCTCCATTTTCGCAGTGATAATCATCTGCATTTTTACTCAGGGCCAAATCCTCGTGCAAGGTTCCAACTGCGGTCACATTACCATCAACTTCCTTGTGAAATCCATTAGTCTCCAACCCTAATTCCTGGTTTATCCACTTCTTCTTCTCTTTGTCCTTTTTACTCTGAACTATTTCTGGGGTTTCTTCCCGGTTTTCATCTGCAACTTTGGCCTTCAATTCTCGATCTGGAAACTTCCGCTTCTTCTTGTCGCTTTGAGAGGATTCTAGGGTTTGAGGATCCTCTGTAACCTCAGAATCGAGCTTCCTACCCATTGTTGAGGAGTGAGAAAAGCCAACTCAGTGTAAAAGTAGCAGAGAACAACAATTTTAAAATTAGGGCTTTCGAGAGGTTTACATAGCGCAAGGAATTGGCGGATATCAATGGGAATATTTGATGGAAATGACCAAAAGGGCCTTAACTTTCTAATAATGGCGGGAGCATCGAAATTGCGCCTGGAGTATGGTCCAGTACCAAAGAGTGAGCGGTGAGACAATTGTCATGGAAAATAGAGTAATATTAAAAACAAAACCTTATTATCAATTGTGACCATCTTTTCTAGGGGTAAATTGCCTTCGTGTATCCTTATTTTTAGGGTAGAAAATGTTTTTAAAAATATTTTTACTTGAAAAAAATTTATATGGTTAAATATGAGAATTGCTGTCATGTGAAAGAAATTTTTGTGAGAATAGCTGTCATGTGAAAGAAATTTTCTTGTTAGGTGTGAGAATTTATATGGTGTGAGAATTCTCTTGTGTACTTGAAAAAAATTTTATATGATTAAATGTGAGAATAGTTGTCATGTGAAAGAAATTCTCTTGTGTAGTTCGGTGTGAAAATATTTTTATATCAATTAGTGCTTGTATACTTTTTCACATTAATTGGCACCCAATTTGTGTGAAAATATTCTCACATCTAACCACTTAAGATAAATTTTTCACGTAAAAATATTTTCATGTGAACCAAGTATGCCTTTAGAAAAAAGTGGTTTATACAATAGATGCGTAACTATATTTATGTCCTTGATCCATCTTAAAGATAGATGTGGAATTGTAATCGTCCCAAAATTTTCTTTTAAAAAACTATGGTTTTAAGTGTTTTAAATTTATTTTTTTACATATTCATGAACTCTATAGTAGAGATTATATATGCCTAAAATATTAGGTCCAAAATCCATCTCAAAAATAGATCATGAAGAAGAAACGTATATCTACATGAAGAATTGAAAATAAGTTAATAGAATATAGTTTTTTGCAATTCTTTCTCTATCCTCTCTCTTGGGGGTGTGTAATAAATAGGATTTTCAACTCAATGAGCAACAAGTTCATGTAGGGATCTCGAGAACCCTTTAGCTTGCGGAACCAGAAATCCCAAACACTGAAATCCTAGTCAATATTGTGTACATGATTGGTTATATGTGAAATAGATGAATACAACTATAAATCGAGTACAATAAATATAGCAAACACAAAAAGGCACACCACAACAACACAATATTTACAATATTTACGTAGTTCACCCCATAGAGCTACATCAACGACCTTGATACCTATAAATCTACTATCACAATGAAGATTACAGTTTTGGGTTACAAGAGATAATATTTATCTCTAAACATCAATAAAAATACCATTACTGATCTTCCCTTCTAAACCCACTTGCCCAACTGAGCAATACTGTCGATCAACTTCCACTTTCCCACTGTAATACCTTCTTCTTTTCCACCGTAATACCGCTACTTGAAAGATAACCTTGAGAGCAACCGAGATACTTTCTATATCTATAAGTGAAAGTTAACTAACTCAAAACTCATTCATCTTTCCCACCGTAATATTGCTACTGGAAAGATAAGCTTAAGAGCAACCGAGAGACTTTCTCTATCTATAAGTGAAAGTTAACTAACTCAAAACTCATGGGAATATTACCTCTCTCTCGGAGCTGTTGAAGATCCATTCCCATAACCCCCAAAGGGTTGACCCTCAAATGATGGGTATTATGTCATCTTTCACTATCTTATAAAGATATCACTTTCTTACTTCTTACTAAAGTCAATTTTTTATTTCCTATAATACCCTAATCTTTAGAAGAAAATATGGACATGGTGATTTAGCTATCACCAAACCCAACAATTTCCACTTTGATAGCAAAATCATCATAATTGCATCGACAATCTTCATTTAATAGATTTCTTCATACTTACATCCATTGTGGAATTTTCACAAACACTTTTGCCTTCATATGTCTCCACCTCAAACTATAGATATTTTTTGATTTCTTCTCACTTGCCTCCATTGTGGAATTTTCACAAATATTTTGCTTTCACATTTCTCCACAATATTTGAAACTTACATTGGAAAGCAAAATATAAAGGCTTTACTGATAAACAAGTGCTTTGCATTTTACATGGAACAATTCAACATAATAGATTTTCATGCCCAAGGTTGATCTTGGTCGAGGGTCAATCCTTTCCTTTGCCTGACTCGATATCCGGCTCAATCCCCCTGCCGAACCTATCTTCCTTCTCCACATTCTCCCGCTTTCTCTTAACCAGGACAACCTTTCTTAGATAAGAAAAAATGAAGAAACCAATAATGACCGGTACAACCAACACTACATTGAACACCATAGTTGCTGGACTAAACAAACTGTAATATGGATACAGCGAATATACACTGAGATTAAACACAGCGCTCAACAAGATTGAACTCAAAGGTAAGTAGGCAAATGCCCACATGAGGACTACTAGCACCCTCTTCGTTAGCGGACCTTTCCTCCACCAACTAATGCTCAACCTCAAAAGCTTTGTGCAGATAATGAGTAACATACCTCCATTAAAGAATAAACATGAGAATTGAACTATTATATTAGCAGCATTGTCGTCGTAATTGGATACAAGCATCCCAATGAAGAATGCGTTGGCCGTGAAGTGCATAGAGATCCACATAATGACCATTAACACTCGCATGAGTAGTTGTTTCTTTACAGCTACGATGCTCATTGGAAGTAAGATAATAAGTAGTGAGGTGATTAGCCCCACTGTATCACAAAAATGAATATATGGTAGGCCCGCTGTTTCCGACTTTGAAGAAATTTTTCATCATCAGTTGTTATCGGAGCTCCTGGTATGGTGTCTTTGTTAGGAGGAGTGAAACCAGCTTGAAATGTGATGGTGGCGATCAACACCGCTACCAGCATGATTGTGGTCTTGCTCTTGCTTATCCAGTCTTGCTTCTGCAGATGTTTCGGCTTCTTTTTCCCCTGTTTTCTATCCTGCCCTGCTGATTGGGAAGTCCGCATAAGAGATATTGCTTGATTTGCTGACCCACCATTGTTTTCTGGAATAATTATTGTTGATGATGATGATTCATGACTTGTTTTTGCTCCTGCAGTGCTAATTACTTGTTGAGTTTCCATGTCATAGGAATTGCTTGAGTCCTGCTCCAAGGCCTCTGCTCCAAGGCCTCTAATGCAGTTAAGACCTTTGAGTTCAAACCATTGCTTTCCATTTTGGGCACTGTAACTAAAAATTTCATGAAGTCCTCAAAACGATTCTCCTTAACACAAAGGTGTAGAACTGTTTCACCATCTTCTGTTTTAATAGGCAAATGTTGGTCCTCATTTTCTGTGCCTACGCGTAGGAACTTTCATCCCAAGATAATGCTACCGCAGGACCAAGTCCTTCATTGACTTCCAAAGACTTTTTACGCCACGCCCACCAATGACTTAGCTCGAGCAGTGTACGATATGGTCCCACAAGAGCACGACCTATTAAAGTAAATCGGGCCATATTTTGTTTATTCTAATCTTCATTGTATTAGTGGATTTTTAGTCATCGATTATAATTTTAACAAATAGAATAAAATAAATCGAGGTTTATTTGTTAAAATTGTAATCTTCATTCATTTCTAAAGTAAACTGGGCCATATTTTATTTATTTGGATTCCAATTTTTATTTATCTGGCCCCATTGGACCAGTGCAGAGCTATATTCCCGATGTGAGATAAAGCTGTTGATTTCTCTTTGGTTCACGCATAATCATTTTTCATGGGGTAAACTTATTTATTTATTTATTTTTTTGAGGTAAACTTTTCAATACAACAAATACCAATGGGATTAATTGATCCAACATTTCTCACCTTTTATAATAACTTTGTTTTTTTTATATATTAAATTAGAGAGTTATTGGGTTTTCGATTATTATTTAAAGGACCCAAAACGCTTTAAATGGCTCAATATCTCTTACCTTTAAGGAGAACTTTGTTTTTTCCTATTTTGGATAGCTCAATATCTCTCACCAAGAACTTTATTTTTCCTATTAAAAGTGAGATACACAAGGCTTGGCTAAAACCAAATGCATTTTTCTACCAAATCTCAATTTATCTTAGTAGAATATTAGAATTTTGATACTCGAATGCACATTATTTATAAAGAAAATAGGGTAAGCTTTTAGAACTCAAATCAAAAGAAATGCCTGAATTAATTACAAACTATTATATATATATATATATATATATATTAGTTTTAATGTAGCTTCTTATTGTATTTTAAAAATTTGGGCTTTGGCAACTTCCCATGCATATTAAATAAAGTAGAACACGTCGGGGAATATGTTACCAATCCTAATAATTATTAAAAACAAAAAGGCCGTTATAATCAAGAAGAAATTGATCTAACTAAAAGAAGAAAACAACACTAAATCAATTGAGAATAGGTGAGGTCGATACAATTTTGAAGATCTTTTTTCTTGTTTCATCCATTGATATATAAAGTAAACTTCATGTATCTCAAGCCTAATCAACGTTTTATGGATGTTATTACTCATTGGAAGATATTTATAACGAGATAGATATTTGTAGTTATTTCATAGTTTTGTTTACAATTAATGTTTATCAAAATTATTACCGATTGAAAAATATATAAGTATTTTTGGTTGTGGTCTTGTACAAGTTATTTGAGTGTGCAACATCGATATTCCAACAAAAAAATATAATCTGGCTATATCCCCTGATGGTGTACTCGTCGGGATCGATTGCACCTTAAAATTTACCAGGGGCATTTAACAATTTGAAAAAAATAGATTTTTTTCATATCTCGAAATCCCCAATGCTTTTCAATTTCTTGTTCGTTTGAGAAAAATCTATATATTTGTATTTTGGAAGTTAGAACTACATTACCTTTGCCACGAGATGAAGCTATTTTAGGGGCAAATTTTATCTCTCTTCACATGGTTCGTCCACTTGATATTGATGGAGAATTTAGGAAAGTAAAGTTTTCTCTCTCATTGCACATGCCCACAGGAATTTTCTCAACTTTGGCAGCCATACAAAGCCCACCATACAAAAAGGCAAGTCTCCATCTCTTAGAAAAATTGAATTAAAATAAAGTCTCCTCATGTCTCAGTCCCATCACCCTTTTGAAGAAGTTTCTCATTAAAAAGTTTTAAAGTTTACCTAAGCTTCTTACAGCAATTTAATGGCAATGCAAGTTGGAGATGCGTTGTTTCCATAGTTTTTACCAATGCACAATTAAACGTGAGCTGTCACTGTGCCATTTGACTTCAATATCAAGACATAACATTACAAAGAAGGATGAGGTGTTATGTAAGGCCTAGGTTTTATGAAAGCAAAATAAAGCCTCACCTCGAGTCTTCGTCCGGACAACATTTCCTCCAACGAAAATATAAAATCGATTTTTTAATACCGACAATAAAATTTAAAATTAAAAAAATGATAAAAATCTTTTGGATTTGTAAACACTTATTTTTGAAACGAAATCGACGGTCTAAAAAATTTGTTATAGTATCCACTATTTTTAGAGTTTGAAATCTAATTTTCTTTCAAACCCAATAATGTTCAAGTCATATTATCGACGTACAGTTTTTCCTATACTTGCCTTGCAAGTTTCGATGATTTATGAAGTGAGGATTGACTACCGCCCTATCAAAGCATTTTCCTTAAAAAAAAAATAATCACTAGTTTAAAGGAAAATACTTGTATTCGTGTCTTTTTCTTACTCTCTTGTCAATTTCAAATAAGGACAAGACCCACTTATCAAAGCAAAAATCAATATCCCAGCAACCTGAAAAATCGTAGAAATTAGTGGGAAGGATTCCTATCTTCATCTGCATACGAGTGTGAGATGCGTAATTCAAAGTTTCAAACACTGGAGGAGTGAGACATAAGTAAGAGAAAAACCATATTCTTCATTTATGAGAATATAGATTTTAGAGAGAGAAAAATGGTTGGATCCCATTGCAATATCCCTGTCATTTGGAATAAATGCAAAAGAAAAGGTGACAAAACCTTCTGGTCCAAGAAACCCCTCATTCCACATAATCCAAAGCTCTTTCAGTCTCTCTCTAATGTTTAAGACAACCTGAGCAGAATACAATATTCTCAATCAGACCTGAGAGTTGGTGGGTAGTACCTAGCACTCTCTTTAGAAAACTGAAGAGAAAGAAAAACCATCTTCTGAGAGAGAGAGAGAGAGAGAGAGAATGGTGGGCATTTTCTCCAAATTTTCAGTGAATAGAATCGGTCATCGCCGCTCCCAAGCCTCATTGGTAACTGTCGTGTTAATCCTTTTATATGGGAAGAAATACCCATTCCATTTTTTGGTTCATTATCATCATTATTATTTTGTTATTTGTTGTTGCTTGTTTCCATGTTATTATTAGATGGATATGTGTTTAGTCTGGATTAGTCCATTTTTCCATGTACACTTGTCTAAAAAGATTTCATTGGTAATGGATCATGTTTTATTCTTGTACCTCTAGTGAATGATATATCTATTTGTTGACCTTGATCTAGTGACAATAACAGATCGTTCTATATTTTTGACAAGAACAGATTGTCCTATATTTTTGGAAGATAAAACCCATTTGACCCATTCAAAATTATTGTGAACTCCTCAAATAGTTATCTGAGTTTCATTTTCCATCAAATACTGTGATTGCATTTTCTTCTTGTTTACTTGAGAAAGGCAATTACCATATCTCACAATCTCTCTCTCTCCCCCCCTTCTATTTTTGGTTAGGAAGAGCCTATTGGGTAATTATATTATGTCCTATTAATTCCTTGATCACTGCATTCTTGATGTGTATTTCATCAAATAGAATGTTTTCATGGCCCATGGCTTGCTTCCTTAACCAGTAGAAGTAATATCCAAGGTGACATCCTTGATCTTCGCCTTTCTTCTCAGTAGAGACGCAGGAGAGTCTTGTTTATGAAATTGTCACCATTATTTTGTTTTTCTTTAGGTTAGATCTTTATATTTTTATTTTGAGACAAGAAAAGTTGAATATGGGAAAATTGGTGCAATTCAGAGCTTAAAAATAAGATTTGGGTTTGGAAGAGCAATGATAGTTTCTCACTCTTAAAATATATAATCTATTTAAGGAAGAGGAAAAGCTTGTGTGAATTTTTTTTTTTTTATATCTTTCTCTTCGTTTGCTTTTTACTTTGGTGATTAATCGTGTGTTAGTCCTGCAGGATGAGAGAGATGGGTCGGGTCAAAACACAAATGTGACATCTTCTGCTGCTGCTTCTGGCCATGGGATAGAAGCAGCTTTTGAGTTTAAGCCAATTGAGCACCCAATTGAGCCACCTGACCATGACAAACCTGTGAAATGCCCAATGCCAGAGCCTCCCATTCTCAATGTAAGTTGAGACTTTTTTATTTTGAAACAAAATGTAAGTTGAGATTATTATGTATTGATTTTCACCAATTTGCTTTTCTTCATGGATATGAGGCACTATATAAGCAAAGAATTTGATCAATTAATTCATAAATATTCATGTTATCTGAGGTTTTCTCGACATTTCTATACGCCCCACAATGTGGACAAGAGGCTTGATTTTCTATTGGAGATTGATTGATATTCATAGGAGGTTCTTAGGTAAGTGATGAATTTTTATCTCTTATGCCCATTTGCTTACAAAATTGCTAGCCAGATTGTCTCAGACTTTAGGGGGAGTCTTTGCTTGTATCCAAAGGAGGTCCATAGAGCTCATGTATATATTGTCCAACCTGGTCTAGTCTGACGATACAAAAATCAAAATTGTAACAATCAAAAGTGGATACCTTGAATCACTTGTGGACTAGCTGATGACATTGACAATACATATTATACCCATTCTAGTTGCAGAAAGATAGATAAAATTGTTAAAATGGTTGATGGCACTTTGTTGAATCATTTGCAATGTTGCCTCATGTTGATAACTTTATGTTCAGTTCAAGGGGTGTATATTGAATACCCCCAAAGAGGGCTCTGATGTGCAATTATGCTATGTGAATACATCCTTGTCTCTATGCCCAATGTATATTTCATAGTATTGGTAACTTTATATTCAGTTCAAGCGGGGTATATTTGTTGACCCTTTTAATACCCCCAAAGAGGGCTCTGATGTGCCATTATGTGAATACATCCTTTTCTCTATGCCCAATGTATATTTCATTCTCATATGACCTGATATTTTATCAGGAAGACTTGAATGCAATTGTGCTTTCAGGTGATGTATATTGACAAAGTCATTCTAATCAACTTTGCTGCATAGACAGTTTAAAAAAAAAAAACCAACTTTGCTGCATAAACTAAAAGTACTAACAATCTGATGTCTTGTTGATCTAAGAAACATGGGGCATAGACTTTCTCTATATTGGAATCTTCCACTCCGTGCTTGAATCTGCGAATTTACTGAGTGACAGGCCTGAGATTATCATTTCAACTTTCAAATTCATATATCTTTTTTGAAATGCAAAAGTATGGTGTGCTTTCAAAGAGCAAACATTATGGTAAGCATGAAGTTTATGATTTAATTGGTCATTACACCTATATCCTATGGGCTTAGAGCAACAACCCACGGTCACATGTACTGGTATTTACATGTTTGATCAGAGGATTTTATTCCATGATCTTCTTTTGAGAAAATAAACCAATACGTGGATTGGATATTGTAAAAGTTAAACCAGATGAAGTCTATATTCCAAAAGGTTCCCCTCAAGGTTTAGGGGTTCATTTTTTCTCTAATAGTGAAACTATTAATGGAGAGCAAAAATTCGAAGTTTGAATCCTTGACTCCCTCCTACCAATGTAATGTTCACAAAAGCCTAAGGGACGATCAAAAGAATCAATGGAATTTATAGATATTGCAAAAATAAGACTTAGGAAGTATATGGACAGAGGAATCCATTTTCCACATCACCAGCTCGTATATTTGGAATCTGTTCCACTAGAAAAGGACTTAGCATTAGTTTGCACTTTACCAACTAATCCCTACTCTGTGATGCACCTATTGCCTTTTATGTGCTGCAATTGTAAGTTTCCTTCATTGCTCTCCCCTAATCAATGTCCGTAAACTAATTCCGAGCCCATGATTTCCAAATATCCAACATAAATCTTTTCATTTGATAGAAAATCTACTATAAGTAGTTCATTACTTAGGGATACGGTTAATAGAAGGCGTCAATATTAACAATCAAGGTAAGCTCACCTCTAAACCCTACTGAAAGATGTAGTTTTGGTGCTGGAAACCCCTACAATAGCCTAAAAATCTAGTTCCACCCCAAAATATGAAATTTAGAGCTTCAAAAATGGTGTAGATCTAGAAGATATAAAAACACTTGAAAATCATGGAAGTGAATAGTCCAGATATTGTATTACATGATGCACTATTTTTAGGACTTGGAACAATGTTTGTCACTATCCAGATATCTTGAGGTCAAGATGATCGATTTGGAGGGTGCTCCAGCATTGAGACAACTTCCACTTGTGGGTTTTGGAGATGCGCCTTACTTTTATTGTGTAAGTTGTTTAATGCGTTAGAAATAGCTTTGATACCATTTGTGTTCAACATTAACCTGATATCTAGGGAGCAGCTGAACCACATTGGAACGTTCAAATCCCCCCAAAAAAGCACAATAGCTTATTATGCTAATAAGCAATTACAACAAGTTTTGAACTCACTATGTGAAAGTCTCAGTCTAACCATTTTACCTTGTCTCTTTCCATGTGTGAAAATCATACCAACAGCCTTCACAGCTCACAACATCAATATCATTTTTCCAGCAAACCTTGGTTGAAGGCACCACAGACCTTGAAATCCAATCTCTCTCATAGCTAAAATGGCTTTGTTATTCTTACAAACTGGCCTTTGAGGATCCTTCCTTAAGGACAAAACAACGTGGTTCTAATCTCTGCATTTTTTCAGGAGAAGATATACATATGGATAATTACTGAGGAATTAGACTCATAAATTAACCTCTATCCTCACTATGAACCCCAAATTTTAGCAGTTTTCATATGACTATTCCTTGGTCTGAATTCGAGCTCGGTCACCTGAGAAATCTGGTGAATAAACATTTCCACATTAGATAACTAACGAAAACGTTTGCTTACTGTTGAAAATTAATCAGGATCTAACACCTCGCCTTTAGATCAAATTAGAAGAACAGGATAATTGATTCGGCAAAAGAGAGGAGCAATAACAATTCAACCTAAGATTATATTATATTGTTTAGGGATTTTTTCTCGAATTTCACTGCCCACACTAAGAGCTGCATGAACTAGCCTTGTGCGAAAATCTATGCACAATTGACTATACAACTGAAGAAACAGCCTCTAATGATGACTTTGAATACTCGTATTCATTGAAATTTACCAGATCAAAGAATTTTGAGTCCTTTGCATCTTCTTATTCTGTAGCTTGCAAGTGTGATAACATTTTATTCATGAGAATTACTCATCTTTTTCTACCCCTTGTTATTATTATTAGTATGAGGGCCTTCCTTTTCATTTTCTTAGTTCTATTATGTATTTATATGCCTCGTTTTGAGGACATAAAAAAGAAAAAACAGATCCAAATTTACTCTTTTGTTTATTTATTTTTATGTGGTATTGGAGCAGTTGCCTTATTTTTCTTCTGTTGTATTTAAGAAGGTCAAGTTTGAGTACTTTAAGCTTGCCATTCCAGTAAGGGTTTCTTCATCTCGACCATGGATTGTCCGTGGCTAAGTCGAGGCCAGCCATTTCATTTGAGCCCAAAATATTTCTTTGTAATTTGTATATCTCTCTCTTTCTCTCTCTTTTTATTTGTTTATTTATTTTATGGAGTCTCTCCAACTAAATTAATATTCTCCTTTTTCCTTAAAAAATTTGTGAACTTGGTTCCTCAACAATTGATAAACTAGGCTCGCTGGGATGCATCATGGAGATTACATCTGTTAAAATACAACGCTCAATAAAGTGTAAGGAAGATCATGATCTAGAAGAGAGAGAATGCGGGAGAGATAGATGAGAGAGAGTCACGTGAGAAAGAAGAGAAGTAAATAGAGTCACGGTAGTGTCTCGTAGACACCCACGCCCCACTTGTATGTATCTTACTACTAATGAAAGTCTGAAGTTACAAAAATATCCCGGAAGTAAGGGAAATGATAAAAATGTCCTCAAGTATTTAAATACAAGAGAAATAGATAAAAAATTTAATCATTCACAACTCCCCCTCAAGCTGCTTCATAGATATCTGTCATGCCCAACTTGCTTAAAATCATTTGCAGTTGAAGTTTCCCGCAACATTGGTAAGCATATCTGCTAGCTGGTCTTCTGTTTTAACATATGGAAGACAAATTTACTTGGTAGCAACCCTTTCTCGAATGACATGACGATCCACTTCTATATGTTTCGTTCGATGCTAAACCAGATTAGGGGCTATAGTGATAGCTACCTTCTTGTCACAATACAAGGACATTGACCTTTCATAGGAAAATCAAGTTCTTGTAAAAGAATTTTTGGCCAGAGTAATTCATATGCACCATAAGCCATGAATCTATACTCATCTTCTGCACTTGATCTTACAACTACTAGTGCTTTGTAATCCACCAAGTCATAAGGTTCCAACAAAAGCACTATACCCCAATTTAGATATTTGATCTATAATAGAATCAGCCCAATCTTCATCTATATAGGCTTTAACCCGTAAATGCCCATGATTAGCTAACAATAGTCCTCTCCTTATTGATGATTTAGATACCTGAGTACTCTGATAGCAGCCTCTAGGTGGATAGTTCGTGGGGAATGCATAAACTGGCTAATCACAGTCACAACATATACAATGTCTGGATGTGTAAGCAATAGGTATATTAGAATATGCCCATATCCTTGAGATCTTTTTCTCTTTGGCCATCAAGCTTGTGATTTCGTTCTATAGGTGTGTTAGCTGGTTTTGCCCGAAGCTTTCCAGTTTCCTTAAGTTGATCCAATATATACTTCTGTTTCGAGATGAAAATTCCTCTTTCTTACCTGGCTACTTCTATTCCAAGAAAGAACTTTAGTAGGCCTAGATCTTTGATTTCAAATTCTCTCGCCGTAAAACCCTTGAGTTGCTTAATTTCCTTAGGATACCAATTACAACAATGTCATCCACGTATACAATTAGGACTTTGGTGCTGGTCTTGGTATATTTGATAAATAATATATGTCAACATGACTTTGACTCTGAACCTCTCAAATCAAGGCCGAGGAGATTGGTTTAGTCCATAGATGGCCTTTCTCAGTCTACAATCTTTCCCTTCACATCCAGGTGCACGAACCGTAGGTGGGGGTTCCATATATACTTGTTCTTGTAATTCCCCATGAAGGAACGCATTCTCGACATTCAACTGA